ATCATCTACACAGAAGACACCCTTCAGCAGAAGAAAACCATTTCTCTAGTGGCTTTTTTTTTTTTTTAATACAATGGCCTTTCTTTAAAGCCACCCACCCAGCAAAGTCCTCTCATGTCTAGCTGGTAACAGTTGAGTCACTTGTCCCTTCCCAACCCAATCACAAAAGAAAACAGGATTACCACGATTAGTCTAGCTTACTAGGATCCACCTCACAGGACTCAGGGATAGGGTCGCCTTTGCTGATCGTGTCCTCAGAGGAAGGCAAACGCCAAGATGAAATCTGGGCCAGAGGCCTGTGGGAGAAAGAGGAGACTGGGGCAGGCAGCCAGCGCGAGGCCCGCTGTGCTGCCCCTCTGCCGCCTCCTCTCTCCTTGGAATGAGAACCAGTCTGTTCACACAGGCCTTTGAGAGGCCAGTAGTCTCAGTGGAGATGGCTGTCACAATTCTTAAAAGTGGGTGCATTCATCACTGTCTGTTTTATGGATGTCTTGATCTAGAGTTCAAGTTTTCCTGTTTCCCAGTGAGTGAAGGAAACCATGTGACTCCCTACAACTTAGGGTGGAATGTGTGACCATCTTCCACAGGTGGCTGTTATGAAAGACTGGTTTTTGGTTTTAGTTGAATTTTTTCATTAGTGCTTTCACTGAATAACAGTGCTTGGACACCATGAAGTTATTAGTCCAGGTGTCCAGACAGTTGAGCCTTTTCTGTCTTAGATGTAAAGAGGAGCTACAAAGTTATTATTCTGATTTGACAGTATACCTGTTTGGTAATTGAAGCCCATCCTGGAAAAAGAAACAACTGCTACTTTGCATTTTTCCATACCACTTTCTACCATTTTTTCAGTTTTATTGAGATTTAATTGATAGGTAGTTCTGTATAATTTTAAAGTGTACTGCTTAATAATTTCACATACATATACTATGAAATGATTAGCACAATAAGTTTAGTTAACATCCATGTCCTCATAGACGGTTTCTTTCTAGGCTGATGAAAATGTTTTGTAACTAGACAGAGGTGATGGTTCCACAACATTGTGAATATACTAAATCCACTGAATTCACTTCAAAGTGTTTAATTTATGTTGAGTGAATTTTTAAAATTCAATTAAATACAATTCCAGGCCAAAAAAATTTTTTTCTTTTGATGGTAACTTTTAAGAGCTACTCGTTTAGCAGCTTTCAAAATATACCATACAGTTAACTATCGTCATCTCTATAGTCATCTTAAGTACATCTTATAGTCATCATAAGTACATCTCCAGTACTTAATGTATTTTTGAACTAGAAGTGTGTACCTTTTGACCACCTTCATCCAGTTTTCCCCACTCCCCACCTCTAACCTTTTCTTTCTGACAGAGTAATCTGTTTAAGGTTATTTAAGCCTGAAAAAGAAAAATATTAAAGATCTATCATGTGGTAAAAGTAGTAAACTTAATTTTGTTTGACTCTTAAGGCACGTTCAGGGTCAGGATTGAAACTGTTTATAGCTTTCTATAGGAAGAAACTATACAACAGTAAAAGTAGAAAGTGAAAATTACTCAGTTGTGTCCAACTCTTTGTGACCCCATGGACTATACAGTCCATGGAATTCTCAAGGCCAGAATACTGGAGTGGATAGCCTTTCCCTTCTCCAAGGGGTCTTCCCAACCCATGGATGGAACCCAGGTCTCCCACATTGTAGGCGGATTCTTTACCAGCTGAGTCACAAGTTAAGACTATAAAATGGTGAGTTGATCCTGTTCTGGGAGTTTTCTAGAAGAAAGAAAGTTCCTCTCAGGAACTCACACAAAGGGACTCTTCTTTGGGGAGGATGGCATGAGGTTGTATCTAAGAACTCTTCCAATTCGCATCTTTACTGATGTTTCCTAGCTAAGAGGTACAGAGAAGGGATGTACTAAGTTTTACTATCCTTCAGACTGAAGAGAGATGAAGCTTGATTTATCCATGGAGAGAAAAGACAAGTATATGTGTGTATGCAGTTCCCATGGGCAGCCAATGACCATAAGCTCTGTAGGTTGTAACTTTTAAAAAACTTATGTGGCTGCGTCAGGCCTTCCTTGTGGCGCGCGCAGCTTATGGTGCAGTGCCCTGGCTTCTCTGGAGTTGTGGCGCGTGGGCTTCAGAGAGCGTGGGCTTCAGAGAGCGTGGGCTTCAGAGAGCGTGGGCTTCAGAGAGCGTGGGCTTCAGAGAGCGTGGGCTTCAGAGAGCGTGGGCTTCAGAGAGCGTGGGCTTCAGAGTACATGGCTTCAGAGTACATGGCTTCAGGGTACGTGGGCTTCAGAATACATGGCTTCAGGGTACATGGCTTCAGGGTACATGGCTTCAGGGTACAAGGCTTCAGGGTACATGGCTTCAGGGTACGTGGGCTTCAGGGTATGTGGGCTTCAGAGTACATGGCTTCAGGGTACGTGGGCTTCAGAATACATGGCTTCAGGGTACATGGCTTCAGGGTACATGGCTTCAGGGTACAAGGCTTCAGGGTACATGGCTTCAGGGTACGTGGGCTTCAGGGTATGTGGGCTTCAGAGTACATGGCTTCAGGGTACGTGGGCTTCAGAATACATGGCTTCAGGGTACATGGCTTCAGGGTACATGGCTTCAGGGTACAAGGCTTCAGGGTACATGGCTTCAGGGTACGTGGGCTTCAGGGTATGTGGGCTTCAGAGTACATGGCTTCAGGGTACGTGGGCTTCAGAATACATGGCTTCAGGGTACATGGCTTCAGGGTACATGGCTTCAGGGTACAAGGCTTCAGGGTACATGGCTTCAGGGTACGTGGGCTTCAGGGTATGTGGGCTTCAGAGTACATGGCTTCAGGGTACGTGGGCTTCAGAATACATGGCTTCAGAGTACGTGGGCTTCAGAGTACATGGCTTCAGGGTACGTGGGTTTCAGAGTACATGGCTTCAGGGTGCGTGGGCTTCAGAGTACATGGGCTCAGTTGCCCCATGGCATGTGGGATTTTCGCTCTCTGGCCAGGGATCAGACTCATATCCCCTGCATTGGAAGGTGGATTCTTAACCACTGCACCACCAGGGAAGTCGTTTTATAGAAATCTCCAGACGCTGAATCAATTAAAAAATAAAAATGTCCGCCATTTTCCTTGTGTAGTCAGTATCTTCCAGTGTTTCTCATCTTTAAATTCAGCTGTATGACTGATGGTATGAGTGACTCTGGCCTTTTAAACTAAGTCTCCAGGCAGCTGCTCAAGAGCTACCAAAAGGTGAACAAAGCAATAATCTTGCAGACTAATTTATGCCAGGTTGAGGTTACACATGCTTCTTAAGAGCCTTCTGGGTCTTATCCTTGAAACTGATTTGGAGGAGGAAAAAATGTCTGGCATGGCAATTTTCTTGAAGCACTTCTGTTTGTTTAGCTTAGTTTCTAGGGTCACATGCCAAGAGATATGACATCTGAGAGGGTTTCCAGTCTTATCTTTTTAAAGAGGGGAAAGAATTATTTAGGATTCAAGTACAGTCAGTAGTCCACGTAAGGAGCAGCCTCTATTATAAACCATTGTTGGAGCTAAGCATGTTTGACTTCAACAGTTGTTGAGAACATGAATCTCTGTATAGAGCATTAGCTTCTGTTTCTGAATATGTGCTGAGATTACTATGTTGACCTTATTACAGGATTTCCCAGGTAGCTATAGCAAGTGACAAGAGCTAGCAACCCCTGCAATATAAATCTCTGTGTCTTTGGGACACAGTAAAGTGACTGAACTCAAATGGTGAATAGCAAAGCAAAGATTCTCCCTTCCTCCAGGGAGAGACCCAGTCTTTCTGAAGAGCAGATGACTACAAACTCTTCTTACCTTTTCAGTTTGCTTAAGATAAAAGAAAGAATTTAAGATTCTGTGAACATCGTCTGATTTTGCTGCTCTTTGATGGAGGAGACACTTGAGGTTGTTAGCAGTGTTGTGGTTTGTGGTAACTGTAGGGGCTCTCCCTTGGGGAAGAAGAGTGATCTTCTCCGGCACTGAATAGAGCTTTATATTTTCCTCCTTTCCGAAGAGTCTGTTGAGTTAACCCTGTGAAGTGCTCAAGCTGAAAATGTGAGCAAATTTCTGGAGGGAACAAGGGAGGGCAAATAAAATGCCAGGGGGACTTTATACTGCATTGCTCTAGAACTGAATCCCGGGGACTCTCACAGTAATTATGCTGAGTAAAAGAATCCATATAATGTATGATGTAAAATTCTAGAAAATGGAGACAGACCTGTAGTGACAGTGGTTGGCTGGGAATATGGAGAGGGGAGGGCGGGCTTATAAAGGAGCAGGAGGAAGCTTTTATAATATGCCCACTATTTTGATTGTGATGATGTTTCACAAATGTATGCATGTTTCATAATTCATCAAATTTTACATTTTTTTGGCTGTACCACATGGCTTGCAGGATCTTAATTCCCTCCCAGGGATTGAACCTGGGCCCTCAGCAGTGAAGCTGTGAAGTCCTAATCATCGGACTGCAGAGAATCCCTGCAGTGATGGTTTAGTCGCTCAGTCGGGTCTGACTCTCACGACCCCATGGGCTATAGCCCGCCAGGCTCCTCTGTCCATGGGATTCTCCAGGCAAGAATGCTGGAGTGGGTTGCCATTTCCTTCTCCTAGTACATTTTAAATATATGAAATTTATGTCAGTTTTACCTCAGGAAACCTGCATTTGATCCCTGGGTCTGGAAGATCCCCTGGAGAAGGGAATGGCTACCCACTCCTTTATTCCTGCCTGAAGAATCCCATGGACAGAGGAGCCTGGCAGGTGCCGTAGTCAGTCCATGCGGTTGCAAAGAGTTGGACACGACTGAGCTACTAACACACCACACCCCTAAGTTTAAAAAAAAAAGAAATGAAATTAGACAATCTAGGGGAGCATTTGTCAGAGAACCTACACTGGGTTATAGGAAGGCTGTTGCAGGCTTCTGTGTGCAGTGCTAATCTTTTAAGTGTAGTAAGTACAGATGCACAACTCTTGTTTAATGCATTTCATGTTTTTTTAGGAGTCCATAGAGGCTACTGTATTCTATTGAGGAAGATGTCTAACAGCAACACTACTCAAGAGACCCTGGAAATAATGAAAGAATCGGAAAAAAAGCTGGTGGAAGAATCTGTAAACAAAAACAAGTTTATATCTAAGACTCCAAGCAAGGAAGAAATTGAGAAAGAGAGTGAAGATACCAGTTTGCGTCAGGAGACACAGGTAAGGATTAGAAGTGCATCCTATGTGCATTCTTTTCAGCAAAACAGAAATGTCCTTATGGGTGGTATTGGGAATCTATAGGAAGCCAGTCACTTATGCAGACATTTGAATCTCCCTAAAAGTCGAACTTCAGCTCTGAAGAAATATCTCTTCCACTTTTTGTCATAGAGTCCACAATGAAGTTCAAAGAAAACAGAATAAAATCCCTAATCTGTTAGGACCTGAGTAACACTGGTTCTTGCTACATTTTGATATTTTTTAATGATCAAAAAATAAACTATATAGTGATATTTGATGTCATAAAATGGTTTATAATAAAATTTTTGAAATGAGAACTGCCTGGCTTTATACAGTGTTAAATTTGTATTCTGGTTGTGTTAAAGCAGTCAGTATTTTCTGGATCAGAAATAGTCTCTGAACTTGCCGCTTGGTAAGCATGCGTGAGAAGAATTTTATTCTTTGATTGCCATGTTGTTTTCCGTCCAAATTCGCCCTGCAGTGCAGACACGATGGCAGGAGATGGCCAGCTGAGCTGCTTCCAGGGCTCCTTTTTGGTACCCCGCCAGCCGGGACTCTGAGCCTTCTCCAGGTTACCTGTTCCAGTTCTTCCTCGTGGTTACAACTAGTTTCCTCTGTTACCCAAGCCGAAATGGCATAAATCCTTTCCTTCTTGCCCAGGGGTGAGACTGGTCTTTATTATATGCCTAGGAGGTAGACTGTTAACTGTAGTTAGTTAGTTTAAACAACAGTAGCAGTAACATTTTGAGGGTCTGGAAACTTGAAGCATAATTTTTCTTGACAACCAGTTCACCTAGGCCTTGTCTTTAAGATTAAGACAGCAACAGCACGAAGAGATAAATTGGACTAAAGTCAGACAGCTCTCTGAAGTACCTCGTTCTCTAGATGCTGCCTGCCCTTCCGCTGTCCCTCCTCTTACAGTCCGCCAGGTCTCTGTCGTGGCTGCTCTTCTTCCCATTATCTTCTGCGTGTGAGCTGTCCTTCCCCACCCATCCTTCCAGTTTGTGGAGACAGTCTGCCACTGTTGCAGCTCGACTTTTAGTTTCCACTGATACCAGTAAAGAATTTTAAATCCTCAGGACAGATAAGTGTTGAATATTTAATTATGTGCTGTCATGTTACATGGACGATAATAATTAAGTGAACTTTTGGGTCCAAGTTACTGTGTTCTCAGGAGACAATTTTAAGTGGTGTTCTGAACTCCTGTTTTGTGTTCTTCTTGAAGATAGGCAGAAAAGAAGGGATGACTAGGTTTTATATGCCTTATGGATACTTACCTGGTTTAAGAATGTCTCCACCTGTATGTCTGTCCGGATAGGTTGTATGGGAGGCTGGGAAGGGAACCTGCCTGCCCTCAGACTCCCTTTGTGGTTGCTAGCGCAGGTTCAGTTGCTGCTGCCATTTCCTGGAGCTCCTGCTCCTTCTGCAAAGGCTTCATTCTTGGCCACCCTTGGCCACCCTTGAGAGGCGTTCTCCCCTCCACCAGTGTTCTTCTTCAGTAACACTAAAAATTCTCTTTCTCTTACCTTCCCCTCAAGTCTTAAGTCTCCCCAAGAATCTTACTGATGCTGAGAGTACTTACTATGAATTAGAGTTGGATAGTTCCAAATATTGTTCTGCAATATTATGAATTGGAGCTGGAAAGTTTGAGGAAAGGGTACTTTCATTACTTGTGCTGTATGAGACATATTCTTGGAATCAGCAATTAGAATTCAGAACATCTTTGGCAGGAAAACAGCGCTATGTAAGACAGGTTCTGAAATTCAGTTTAGAATGGGCAAGCCCTGACGTAACAAATACTGAACTCTTAGGTGGGTCCTTTAAAGAACTGAGGTAGGCTTTCTGCCTTTATACTTGTAATGCCCTCTGACTCATCTCCCATACTGCTTTAGAAACATGGCATGAAATAACGATCTGATTTTGTTAATTCTCTTCAGACTTTCTGTGTCTCTTCATGCCCTAGGCTAAGTCCCAAATTTGTCAGCATGGCATATTGTGACCTAGCCCTTTGCCTGCTATCCATCCACCTCGGCATTCTATGCTTCAGCCTAACGGATTCCCTGGTTCCTGTTATAAATTGAGCTGAAAAGTTTGGAGAAAGCATGCTTTTACACATGCTTTCTCTAACTAGAACACCCTCCTGGTGTTCTTTCCCTGGCCTTTGCCGGGTCAGTTCAGTCTCATCATTGGATCTCTAAGGCCCAATACAGTTCCTTGCAGGCACTCATTGTTTATGAACGTGTGAATTTGTGAATTCCTAGGTCTTAGTTAGATACGTGCACTCCTGTAGCACTTCATAAGTACCTCTGTAATGCACTTAATATCCTATATTGTAATTGTCCATTTGTCTGTCTTCTTCAGCAGAATTATGAGTTCCTTTTTGACAAGGTTTCCGTCTTTTATCTCTGTATCCTCCAGTAGGTAGCATGGTGTCTGACATACTAGGCCTTGGTATGTGTTTGACTATTAAACGAAAATTATGCATTCTGAGAAATTGGCAGATCTATACATTTTTATAGAGTTATAGATTGGAATTTATAAAGTTACAGATACCAAGGGAACATTTCATGCAAAGATGGGCTCAATAAAGGATAGAAATGGTATGGACCTTACAGAAACAGAAGATCTTAAGAAGAGGTGGGAAAATGCACAGAACTATACAAAAAAGATCTTCATGACCCAGATAACCACGATGGTGTGATCACTCACCTAGACCCAGACATCCTGGAATGTGAAGTCAAGTGGGCTTTAGAAAGCATCACTACAAACAAAGCTAATGAAGGTGATGGAATTCCAGTTGAGCTATTTCAAATCCTAAAAGATGATGCTGTTAAAGTGCTGCACTCAGTATGCCAGCAAATCTGGAAAACTCAGCAGTGGCCACAGGACTGGAAAAGGTCAGTTTTCATTCCAGTCACGAAGAAGGGCAATGCCAAAGAATGCTTAAACTGCCGCACAATTGCACTCATCTCACATGCCAGCAAAGTAATGCTCAAAATTCTCCAAACCAGGCTTTAACAGTACGTGAACCATGAACTTCCAGGTGTTCAAGCTGGATTTAGAAAAGCCAGAGGAACCAGAGATCAAATTGCCAACATCCAATGAATCATCAAAAAAGCAAGAGAGTTCCAAAAAAACATCTACTACTGCTTTACTAATTATACTAAAGCCTTTGACTGTGTGGATCACAATAAACTGGAAAATTCTTGAAGAGGTGGGAATACCAGACCATCTGACCTGCCTCCTGAGAAATCTGTATGCAGGTCAAGAAGCAACAGTTAGAACCAGAAATGGAACAACAGACTGGTTCCAAATAGGAAAAGGAGTATGTCAAGGCTGTATATTGTCACCTTGCTTATTTAACTTATATGCAGAGTATGTCATGCGAAATGACAGGCTGGATAAAGCACAAGCTGGAATCAAGACTGCCAGGAGAAATATCAATAACCTCAGATATGCAGATGACACTACCTTTATTGCAGAAAGTGAAGAGGAACTAAAGAGATTCTTGATGAAGGTGAAAGAAGAGAGTGAAAAAGCTGGCTTAAAAATCAGCATTCAGAAAACTAAGATCATGGCATCTGGTCCCATCAATCCATGGCAAATAGATGGAGAAACAATGGAAACAGTGACAGACTTTATCCTATTGGGCTCCAAAATCACTGCAGATGGTGACTGCAGCCATGAAATTAAAAGACGCTTGCTCCTTGGAAGAAAAGCTATGACCAATCTAGGCAGCATATTAAAAAGCAGAGACATTACTTTGTGAACAAAGGTCAGTCTAGTCAAAGCTATGGTTTTTCCAGTGGTCATATATGGATGTGAGAGTTGGACTATAAAGAAAGCTGAGCGCTGAAGAATGGATGCATTTGAACTGTGGTGTTGGAGAAGACTCTTGAGAGTCCCTTGGACTGCAAGGAGATCAAACCAGTCAATCCTAAAGGAAATCAGTCCTAAATATTCATTGAAAGGACTGATACTGAAGCTGAAACTCCAATAATTTGGCCACCTGATGCAAAGAACTGACTCATTTGAAAAGACCCTGATGCTGGGAAAGATTGAAGGCAGGAGGAGAAGGGGACAACAGAGGATGAGATGGTTGGATGGCATCACCATCATGATGGACATGAGTTTGAGCAAGCTCCAGGAGTTGGTGATGGACAGGGAAGCCTGGCAGCTGCAGTCCATAGGGTCACAAAGAATTGGATACGACTGAGCGACTGAACTGACTGAAATTGGTATAACTTCTTTGAAGGGCAATTTAGCAATACTGGATAAAATTTTTAAATGGACTGTACAGTATTTGTGGGTATACTCAGTGATACAGTCACTGGAGCGTTGTTTATCCTAACAAACATGAGAAGCATCCTAAATGGCACAGTTTGTGTGTGGCGACACGAAGGAATGCCCTGGAGCCGCTCGGGAAAGCAGCGTCTCTGTGGAGGTGTATCCTGAAGAAAGCTTGAAAGGGAGGTTTGCGGCAGCGTGTGCACATGTACAGTACACTTACAGATACATAGGAGATCTCTGGAAAGATCACAAGAAATTCAGTGCTAGTTGGTCCTGGAGGAGGGACCCAGGTCGCCAGGGACATGTGTAAAAGGAGACGCAGTGTTCTGGTTTGTGCCTTGTGTATGTTCCTACTTATTTGAAAAAATAGTGACAAATGCTGCTTCATATCCCTGGACTATTCTCTTACTGTAACAGGTCTTGCCACTGACCAGATTCACTGTCATTTCTTACTCTTTCCATCCACCTTTCCAGTTCTTCATTTTGCATTGTAGCAGTGTTATTTGGTAACTAGTGAAGAGGACAAAGCCAAGAGAAATCCTCACCTACCCAGAACCGTGCCGATACTCTGCCTCCATCTTGTTTCCCCTGCTCCACCCACCAGCCTCAGTTCTCTCCACACCGCAGTGACAGTTCCATTCCAAACATCTTAGAAGCCCTAAGCATCATGCATAATCCTACCCAAACTCTTCTCCAGAGTCCCCATTTTGACTTCTCAGCTATTCAGAAACCTCACAAATTAATTAGTCATTTTTCCGTTCATCCCACCTCAGGCCCTCATTCATCTTCCTCAGCTTCTATCCTGCTCCTCACTCGCTCTCTTTACCTCCCATTGCTCTGGAGGTCTTGTCCACATCTTCCATGCTTCTTTTTTTTATCCTGCCCCATCTTATATCCCTGACCCAAACGGGCTGGAAGAGCCAGCCACCAGGAGCAAAGCGCAGGGAGAACTCTCATGTCCCAGGAAGCAGGCGGTTGCCGAGAGGAGCCTTCCTTCCGTTCCTGCAGCCGCCGGAGCAGGCCTTTGGAGCATCTGAAGTTAGCGGTCTCAGTGACTGCTGCTCGCTGTCATGGGCTGCATGGGCTTCTGCAGGCAGAGTTTGGGGAGGAAACGCTCGTCATGCTCTGGCAGTGATATTTCAGGGGCCGTGCTCTTCAGCCCAGGATTCCCTGGTTTATTCAAGAGTCCTTTTTATCAGTCTGTGACTAGGCCAGCCAGCCAGTCTTTCTGTTTCTGCCTTCGTGGTGAGTGATTTGTCTGTGGGGCCTGAGGTCCCCTCCCCGTCACAGTCGCTAGAGGTGCAGCTTGGGGGACAGCCACGGCAACAGGTCTCATCGTCGTTCGGCTGTTACAGTGGTTTTAAAGTCAGTGCTTTTTCTCTGTAAACTTGTATTGCTTTTAACTTAAGTGTTTATTTCCCCTACCTTTAATACTCTCTAATCCCCTTCTAGCAGAGGCGGACATCCAACCATGGTCACGCCAGGAAAAGAGCGAAGGTGAGAGCGCTTCCTCGGTACTTGCAGTGTTACTAGTGGCGCATCGCGCAGGTGGACTCCACGAGCGTCTGCTTCATGTGGGTTCTGTATGTGTGCAGGGTTTTGCCTGTACTTTGTACCCTAATTGTGAGCATGCATACACACACACATAATCACAAATATGCATTGCTCATATACATATATCCTGTTGGAATGTCTGGCTTTATTTTGCTCTGTTATCTTTAGTCTATTTCAGTTACCTGAAAGGATACCCAGCCAAAGTGTCCCACAAGCAAAGCTTGAGCAGATTGATACTGGTTCTGTTGTAATGTCAGTTTCTCTGCTCATCTCTGGCTCTCTTATTTTGCCCCCAACAGTTTTGGGGATTTTTGCCGTGAGAATTTTCTGTAAGATAAATCCTCCCTCATTAGTAAAATGGTTCAACATTTTTGGATGTTCTAAAAATAGAGGCTTTGTTCTGGTTTGATTTGGTTCACCTTTTAGGTTGGTTCAGGGAGGAGCATTTTGTTTTCAACCATTATATGATAAAATCAGCACATCATAGATTATTTTAAGCAGTGTTATCAGGGAGGACTGTAGGTGCTAGTGTGTGATAGCTTTTTAATTTTAATTAGTACAATATTAAACTTGCCCTGCGTTGGGAAGAATTGTCAACAGAAGTAGTGATTAAGGGTGTCCAGCCTTTTCCCCTAGAAAAATAACGGTAGAATTTGGGACTCTCCCAGCCAGTATGCAGCTTGGGTTTGAAGAAGACTAGGATGTATGATGAACTGGTTCTGTGGACTGCCTTCCGTGGCCTGATCTACAAGTAATGGACTTGACAGTACAAAGGGTGTTCAGGATTCCCCTGGCGGCCCCATGGCTAATCCCCTGCGCTCCCAGCGCAGGAGGTAAAGCTTGCACACGCGGTCAGGGACTGGGACCCCATGTGCCGCACAGCACTCCCCATAAGGGGGAAAAGCCCATACCTGGTCAGGGAGCTGGGATCCCGTGTGCCGCACGGCACTCTCCATAAGGGGGGAAAGCAAACCAGAGGGTGTTTTCTGCTACTCACTTCCTCCAAACTTTTTGAAATAAGACAGAAAAGTTTAAAAAGTTACTATTGTTATTTTCTCCATTTTACAGAGGAGAAAACTTGGGTTTAATAGAGTTTGAGTGAGATTGACAAAGGACATTTATTAGTAAGTGGCAAAACTAGGCTTAAAGTCAGTTCTTCAGGATTGAAAATTCTTTTCGCTGTACTGTACAACCTGAAACACATATACTGTGATTTGTGCTTTTGTGTTTACTATAAACTTTTATTTTATTATAAGAACTCTCAATAAATGTTTATAGGTAGATTTTTAATGAGTCACTATAATTTTTGACTTTGGAGATCCCTGAAGGAGCAGTGATTTATAGAGTGAATTTCAGATCTTTTGGGGATTCTCCAGGTAGCATAAATAAACCAAGTAGATTAGTTCTTTATTACACTGAACCCCAAGTATTAGAAAGTTTTCTTTCTCTTTACTTTTTTCTTAGACACTTTTCCCCATTACATTGCCACCTCAGGTTTAGAGTCATTTAGCATTTGTTGTCTACTGTATGCTAAACACTATTTATGGTACATATGTTTACACATTTTATATAATTCTCACAAGAATTTAGGCATTTCTATCCCCTTTTCATTGTGAGAAAAAAACAGAGGATCCAGAGAGGTCAGGTAGTTTGCTGAGGGCCACATATCTCATCGTTTGAACCAGAAGTTGAAGCTGGGACTCCTGGCTCTTAAATCTAGTCTTTCTCCTAAGCTTTGCTGCTGTGCATTCTCAGCTAACGTCCGAGTCTAATATTGGAGCACTGCGCTGGAGAGAGGGGAGCTGAGCAAGGTGGCTTGCCTGTCATCTAGCCACAAGTAGTTGTTTTGTTGTTATATATCTACTGCTGTAAGCAAGAGAATTCTCTTTCAAGTGGATCAGGAATGGATGAGAAGGACCTGTTTGAAGAAGGAAAAAAAAAACCCTCTTTCATGGAAGCAGCAACTAAGAGAACCAAAGAGGATGCCCTTTATTCAGCGGAAAGAATTCCAAATGTTCCCCAAGGGAATGTGTGTGTGTGTGGTGTGTGTGTGTGTGTGGTGTGTGTGTGTATATATATATATATATATATATTTTTTTTTTCAGTCTAATTCCAAGCTGAAATTGGTGCGCAGCCTTGCAGTGTGTGAGGAGTCCTCCGCTCCATTTGCTGACGGGCCGCTGGAAACCCAGGTGGGTCCTTTACAAGAGGAAGTGTCGCTTTTGAGTTTGGCGGTTGTGTGCTGAACAGTGGTGTCACAGCCATAGCATCAACATTAGGCTTGGAAATTGGGGTAGAAAAAGCTTCAAAACAAGTTATTGCAGTTAAGTGGCATGAGTGAGAGCATGAAGTGTAGGTCTTCACACCTGGACCACCCAGGATGATGCAGGCAAGGAGATTCCAGGCCTAGATCATGTTTTCCCAAGCACACCTTTCCCTCTGGTTGTTAGAACCATTTCCATTCTAATTCTTATGCCAGAAACAGCCAGCATAACTTGAGCTCTCTAAAGAGTAGGCTGTGATTATTGGCAGAACGGACTTGGCCTCTACCTTACTGGTAGAACAAAAGCTAAAACAATTTAATTAAAATATTCTTGTTTGTAATACAATGCTGTCACCCTAAGATTTGCTTTCTTTTAGATTTTAAAGGAGCTACAGGAGAGTTAATTGTTTTCCCTTTTGATTATATTTCTCTTTCCCCTTGTCCAAGGATATAATTCAGTTGCACATCAGCTGCCCCTCTGACAAGGAGGAAGAAAAGTCTACAAAGGATGTCTCTGAAAAGGAAGACAAGGACAAAAACAAAGAAAAGGTCCCAAGGAGGATGCTGTCTAGAGGTGAAGACTTTCCCCCTTTCTCATCTGTCCTAGGGCCTGGCTCTGCAGTGCCCTTTCCTCCCATCTCCCCACTGGCCTTATTGGCCCAGCAGTGTACAGTGTCCTGCTGACTTCATCATTGTTTGGGGAGGTGCCTAAGTAGGTTACTTTCTTTGCTGCTTTTTCCAGCTCTGCCTTAAGGGCTGACAGAGGGCTACTCTGTTAACACTGGGCTACCGACAGTGGGAGGACATTGTAGTCAATTCTGATTTTATTCTTGCTTTTGGAATAAATAGTGATGGATTATCACTGGTAGCAGATTCAATACCATTTATAGTTTGGTTTGGAGATGCTCAGAGTGATTTTTTTTAATAATTAAACTTGCATGTAATTATTAAGCTCTCTTTGGTTTTAAATTCTTGGGCTGGTAGCAAAAAGACATGGTCCATAGAAGTGGAGGGAATTCCCTGGCAGTCCAGTCATTAAGGCTCAACTCTTTCACTGCCGTGGGCCCAGATTTGATCCCCGGTCAAGGAACTAAGATCCTACAAGCCATGTGGCATAGCCAAAAACAAATTTTTTTAACGATAATTAAGAGGGAAAAGGCAATCGTATTAAAATTTTATAAGCAAATATAAACATATAAATAATCACCATTTGAATATATTTGCTGAGGTTCTAGAAAATTCAGCCCTGTCTGACCTTACCTAGAATTTATTTTCTTTAACTAGAATAAAGCCTTTGTTTTGGTTTGGCCATTTGGTAAATACTGATGGCAAGGTGACTATTCAGTGTAATATGAATATAACACTGTGACCCAGATTCCACCTTCTGTCATTATCGCGGGAAATTTTGAGAGGCTGGTAATTCAAGGTTACTCTCATTTTAAGCTAAAACTCCTGAAGTTTGATTCTACTTTTCCTCTATGTCTCCTGATCAGATTGTAGGCTTCTGCTTGGGGTTAAATATCATACAAAGCAGTTTCATTTATTTCAAATTTATTTCATTGTGGTGTTCTAGACTCCAGCCAAGAATATACGGACTCCACTGGAATAGACCTACATGAATTTCTTGTAAATACACTGAAAAAGAACCCAAGGTAATAACATGATTTGATGGAAGGGGGAAAGGGGCCGGGATCAGCATAATACTCAAGAAGCCAAGTAGCTCCTCAGAATTTTTCTATTATTAGAGTCTGGGATGCCCATTTCCCCTACACCCCCCACCACCATTTCTCTCCAAAGAAGTTTTATATTCTGTGGAGGGATTCAGAATACCCTTATATTGAGATTTCTGCTTTCAGAAGAGTTGAGAAAAATTCTGTGGAAGAAGAATGCAGACAAAGAAATATAAAGGCTTAAGAATACAATTAAAAAGTACAGAGGAAAAAAGAATTGATTGTAACACAAAGCTAAATCATACTTGTTTAAAAATTCTATAAATAACCGGATGGAGTGTAGAATTACGATTAGTATAAGTATAAAGTATGTGTTTGTATGACTATGACTGCCAACAGAATTAGGTTTCTGATAAAGGAAACAGAGGACGTGATTAGGAGGTTTGATTTTTTTTTTTTTTTTTAAAGTAACATAAGACAGGGTAGTGAGGTTGGCAGCCTGTGCATTTTTGATCCGCTCCTGGAGTTTGGGTTTGTCCCTCCCTAAGCATCTATAGTGAGCAGGTTGTGTTTTCAGTCCTGTTTCAATGTCTGTGGGAGGGCTGCCTTTTGTTTTGCTTTGTTTTAATCTTTTTTAAACAGGGACAGAATGATGCTGCTAAAATTAGAACAGGAGATTCTGGACTTTATTAATGACAACAAGTAAGTTATTTGAATGAAATACATCTTAGAGGTGGGAGGGGGTACTGGAAAGAAATTTAGGTAAAATTTAAGGATATCCCTCTTTTATCGTTCCCTTAAAGTCTGAATTTTGAAGTAATAACTCCCTAGGAACCAGGAGGAGTTGGGAAGAAGTAATCACAATGGATCAAAATGTAAATGTGTGGAAACTAAATCAAGTTTTTAAATTATCACTTAGACTTGAGTTGAAAAATATTTATATCTTTTCATCAGCTAGCCTTTGTCCCATATTTCACTCTTCTTAAGTTTATCCCTTTTTTCTTTGTAGAATATCATCCAGATGGGTGAGACCTAGGGCTTTTTGTCTAAGGAGCAGTCTTAATGAAGATAGTGGGTCAGAGGGATTTACACAATACTATAGATAAAGCTGAGAGAACTTGTTTGGTTACCACTGAGTAAATATCTATCTTCCTTATAATAATGTCTCCTAGGAATTTCTCCACTTTCAACACTTGTAAGAAAAAGTTGGCTGTTATTTGTTCTTATTTCACTTTTCCCCCCTGCGTTTCCCTGCAGCAACCAGTTCAAGAAGTTCCCTCAGATGACCTCATATCACCGGATGCTATTACACCGGGTAGCTGCCTATTTTGGGATGGACCACAATGTAGATCAAACTGGAAAAGCTGTCATCATCAACAAAACCAGTAACACAAGAATGTAAGGGAGGAAACCACAGATTGGGAAAACTTTCCTAGGATAGCTCTGGGGTGGGAGAGGAAGATGCAGGATTTCTCTTTCTGGAGAGGGAACAGTGGAGGGAGTGGGTAGGTTATATTATCAATTTCTACTCTTTTTGAAGAGATAGATTCTAGAGGCATTGGCATTTTGTGAAGACTGGCCCCTGGCTCTCTTCACCTTTAGTGATAGAATAGGAATAACTGTGGAAGAAGGTAAGTTGTATAGATGTGTAAAGAACAGTCCTTGAGGATTTCTTTAAAACTTTCACAGGACTTTTGGAATGCCTGACTTCAGAAATCTCCTGGGTGGGAGTTGTGGAATTTAAGAGAACTGTATAGGTCTGCTTCCTAACAGAAGAGTCTTTCTTCCCTTCCTTCCACATTTCTCTCCCAATCCTAGCCCTGAACAGAGATTCTCTGAACATATAAAGGATGAGAAGAATACAGAATTTCAGCAGAGATTCATTCTTAAGAGAGATGATGCCAGTATGGACCGAGATGATAATCAGGTGAAGACTGGAAAGGGATGGGTCTATACAGAGAGACTGCAGTAAGAGAAACTGGGAGGGGGAAGAGTTTCTGTGGGTGGAGAAAACGCAGAATGTCTTAGTATGGAGGGGACTCTCGAGCTACACTGAGTTGGCTTTAGCTTAGTGTTGAGGATTAAGTACACTTGTTGAGCTAAATGCCACCCACTTAGCCCCAGAGTGACATGGTGCTGAGGTTTGCTGGGTTTTCTCATTTGGCCTGGAACTCCCTGGTTCTGCCACTGACTTCTAACTCCACTTCATTTTGGGACAAAGCAAGGTCCCTCCCTGCTTCAGCCTTGATTCAACTGATGGCTCCATTCTTTTTTTCTTTAATAGTTAGGAATTTCTTTGGGAACCACCTAAAGCTACTTTTATCCCACTTGCACTCTTCCTGTCTCAGAGCTAGCCTTGAACTGGGAAAATTGTTATCTAATTTACCCACTTGTAAAGGTGTTTCTGATCCCTTTCTGCAAACCCTTTATTCTTTTCCCAACTCCTTCCAGCAAGGTGAGTGAGTCAGTTTGGCTTTTGATGCTTGAAATCTCAGGCAGTATCCCCATTTTGATCCACTCCTGTGGGAATGAGAAGTGAAAAGTCTGCCCCATCCCTTCATTTATGGGCCTGGCTTTTGCCCTGACTTCTAACACATCCTTCAGATAGTGATTATTTGGAGTTAGCTTCCTAGCCTCATATGGGGTTAAGATCCAGCCTGCTTCTGCTTGGCCTCCAAGGGAGGTTAGGTAGAGAACCAGGATTATAGTTTAAATAATATGGTGGGGTAAAGCCAATAACTAGCCTTGCTAATTCATGATAACTCTAATAATATCTTACCTCTAGAGTCAAAATTAGTTTCCTCTCAATATTGTCTGGTCCTGAGACCAGGACTTTTCCTGCTTGCTGCTTGAGTATTTGAGGGAGTCCTTTTGAGAAAAGTGCCATTATCTATTGTGGACAAACATGCTGGGTCTGATTGAAAATAATGAAACATACAAAAGACAAAATTTAAAAACAAGAAAGAGCCTTTCCATCCTGATGCCCTTCTCTCCATTTTCCCAAAACCCCTCTTCTGTGGATCAGGAATTATTCAGGCCTAGAGGCACATTGGGGTGGGATGGAATCTCTCCCTACCGTGAACTTTTCATCTCTCGGCTTCAGGCTTGATCCATAATAGGGTAGGCTCTATGCACTTTCTGTCTGTGATATTAATAATAAACACAGTAATTGCTATTTCATTGAGTGTTTTCCCTCTGCTAGCCTCTGTTCTAAATACATTATATTCATTATCTCATTTAATCCTCTCCACAAACCCAGTCTAGATGGGGATTATTAGCCCCGTTGTAAACTGAGCTAGGAAATGTTAAGTTAGTTGCCAGTGACATTACTTGGAGGTAGCAGAGCTGAGATTCTGCCTGACCTCAAAGCCCATTACGCTCTATCTGTTCTGCCACTGGCTAACCAGTGCTAGGGGCTAAGGACAATATAGCACGTAAAGTCCTGTATCTTCTTGGCATGGGATTGGTAAAAAGGACGTTTAGTAGAATTTAGGTTCTTTAGGCTAGTGAGAACTACATCTAGTCAAAAGTTGATGCTCCTGAAATTATGCTTACTTCTGGCAATCGTTGAAGATCAGGAAGATCAGCCTAGACCAGTGGTCTCCTTGGTTGCTTTCTCTGAAACTTTAAAAGCCTCTGGATTGAAGGTCAGAATCTTTTATAACCTGATGACGTGCATTTGATGACTTACCTCCCTCAGAACACTTTGCCTTCAAGAGCAGTATGGAAAAAAGACATTCTGTAACATCCTACCCAGGGCAGTGCTCCCAACTGCCAGGCTAAGAGGGGAAAGGGCAGTGGTGGAGAGTGGGGTGGTAGGCTCACAGAGGTGGTGGTCTGCCCAGCCATCCCCTCTGGTCACCTCACTACATTTTTCAGAGAATGTAAGGTTCTCTGTCCTCTCTTTCCTTCTTTTCTTTCTATCACTGTGCTTCTCCCTTTTCTCTGCCTACCTCGTTTGTCTGTTCTTTCTCTGTCATCCTTCTTTCTGTTCTCCTTTTCTTTCTTTTTTCTCCTTTGTGTTACTGTGTTCTCTTTCTACTGTATATTTCTGTAAGCTTTCACTCTTTCCCTCCCTCCAGTAGCTGTAGTTAAGATGAGAAAAAATGCTTAAGCTCTGAGTTTAGCTTCGCCCTTGGGCTTTCACTTGCAAGGCCCTCTTTGCTGAGCTCTGTGTGACTTGGATCTACAGGCCATGGCATCAGTGACTAAAGAAGGAATAAGGTCAAGTGCTAGTTCTGTAAAAACTCTTCCAAATTTAGCTCTGGTAAATACCTGTCTCTTCTCCCTTTCTAGCTTCCTCCTATCCCTTGCTTTCCCTCCAAAGCAATGCTGTTTATTCCGTGGGCTATTCTCTTCATCTTTACTGACTGGAGAGTACCCTGCTACATAAGGAAGCAACCTAATCCTTATCCAAAGTTATTGTTCTTGATACTCTGGTTGGGGGGGTGGGGAGCTGGTGAGGCCCCAGCCATCCAGAAAACCTGATCTCCCAAACTGCATGGTCAGATGTACCCAGTGAACGTGTCCGACGCTGGAAGTTTTGTTTCTTTTGTTCCGTTTTTTGATGGCGACTGTAAACTCTCCCGGTTTCTCTTCCTTGCTGGTGTGCAGTGAGCTTGCAGTACGAGGAGACTTAACTAGCTTAATTCTGCTCATCGATCTAGATCAGAGTTCCATTGCAGGATGGAAGGAGGAGCAAGTCAATAGAAGAGAGAGAGGAGGAATATCAAAGGGTCCGAGAGAGAATATTTGCCCGAGAGGTAAGTGTAGCTTCTGAGAGGCGTCAGCCCCTAGCTTTTAGCTCTTAATCTTTGGCACTGTGAATGGAATGAACCCTCCGTAAATGTTCTGTTGTTTTTTTCTGATTTTGTTTTTAACCAACATCAGCCAGCCCCATATTTGATCTCTGAAATTAAATGTAGCTTATTAGGAAGCTGCAGATTTTTATTCACATTACTGTTAATGCATATGGCCTATAAAGAGAACAAATGGAGTGGCTGAATTTGGTAGATTTGATTAGACTGAAAATAGAAATGGTTTTGGCAGGGCTTACGGAAGGGCCCTGGATCTTGCCTGTCGAACCCTCCTCCCGCTTACCCTCTTTCACTTCCACTATCTATTTTAGGCGTCTTTGCTTCTAAGTGGAAGACTTAGTGTCCACACAGCCTGTATACATTCATCTTGTTTGTTCTGGCTCATTTTTAGGCAATGTTGGTGATTATCAGAGCACAGATGTGGCATCCATTCTCTGAGCTCCACATTCCACACGCACAGAGGGTGCACTCACTATTCCGTACAGTCTTGACTGAGTAGAAAGTCTCTTTCTTTCTGTATTTCTTACCTTGTTTCTTAGAATAGGCCCGCTCCATGGACCAAAAGGCAACATGAGTTGTTATGGGCAACTTTATTCTTAAGAACTGTGGGCCATATCAGATATACTTGGTATCCCTGTGTCTGGTGGCCTTTGCCTGCCAGACTGAACAGACGTATAGGAGGAATTCAGGAAAGGCAAGAGAGAAATAAATCTCCAGAAAATATGCGATCCAGATAGCAGCACCATCTTATAGTCAAATTAGAAAATGAAGAAGAGCCAGCCTCCCTTTGTCATCAAAAGATGGCCAGTTCTAATCAATACTTAGATGCACACTGCTCCCCTCCCACTTCCTCAATCTCCTTCATCAAGACAAAAAAAAAAAAAAACGTATCTTCTCATCATCACCTAGCTCAGAAAAACATTGTCTCTAACTTATAAAAAACTGAACTCCTCTGTGAACTTGTTCCATTGTCTTGGAAGACACAGTTCCAAGGAGCCTCACTGTGGTCAGATACACAGCAAACCTTCTGGCCTACAGTCTGAGGAGAAGGACTCTTCTTAGGTTATGTGGCCTTCCATTCTGAGTCAGGAAAAACCCATCCTCCCAATTATCCAACTGTGGCCCAGAGAGAGTTTTTCTAACTTTATCTGAAAATCAGTTGAGTGGAATGCTAGGAGAGTGGTCATTTGTACATGGCTGCAGCTGGCCATGACCCTGAGTTGTGGACAGGTTAGAATGGTGGAAGTTAATAGCAAACGTTCATATAGTGCTTATTATCTTTCGGAGCCTGTCCTTAACACTTTGCACACATAAATTTATTTAATCTTTACACTAGGCCTATGTGATAGGTTACATTATCTTCCTCATTTTAGAAACGAGGGATTGAGGCATGAAGAGGTTAAGTAACCTCTGATCACACCACTATTTAGTGAAAGAGCCGATATTTGAATTCAGGCAGTCCTTGGCTCCAGAGTCCACGCTCTTAGCCCCTTAAGTAAACCACCTCTCCATAGATTGCTCTGCTCTGGGCTTTTTACATTAAGTTCCTGTGACATCGTAGCATAGCTCCCTGTGATATACCCCTCTGCTTCACTGACACATGGAAAATGACTGTTCCACCACGCCAGCCGTTAGCAAAGCCATTCTGAAAGCACAGGTGACTTTCATAGGCTGTTAGGGCTCATTGTGCACAACACTGGAATATGTCCATACTACCATAACAGAGGAAGCTCTTCTCTGCTTTTTCTCTGATATCTAGTCTCTCCAGCCTCTACTGATATGTGTACTCTTTGTTAAATCCTTATGGATTTATCATTTTCTTTTTAACACATCCTAACTCTTGCTGTGGTAGAGGCATCAGGAATCTCGAAAGGTCTAGGCAGGGGGAAATGGCCAAAGCCTACTATATGCCAAAGATTCCCATGTGGAGAGGAAAGAACCTGGCCAATCAAAGGGAACTGATTAAGGGTGGAGTTGGGGTTGCCGCAGAGGGGAGGAAGAGGCAGTCTAAAAAGAAAGGGAAGTGGCAAGAAGGGTGTTTGGATGGAAATGCTGCTGCTGCAGCCTTCTCTGGAGCTGGGCTGTGTTTGGGAAAGCTGCCTCACTCAGGCTCTGCTCCGCACGAAGGCCCCTGTGCTCAGCAGCTGGACACTCTCCGTACGTTTTTCTAAGACTTGGGAGTCCACCGTAATGCTCACTTCACTCAGCTCAGTGGCTTTGTCAGGAAATGATCCCCAAAAGGAATGTTTCAGGCTTTTAATTTTCTCACTTTTTCTAGGCTCTGCTTCCCCAATCTCTTACTCTCCTTGGGTGTCAGGTCAGAATGTCTTTCATTTTGGCCACAGTGTAGAGGACAGAAATGGGATAGTCACTGAGGATGATTTCTAAAAAAAACTAAATTTTTTTCTCTTCTCTCCCTTTTCCCTTTCTTTGAATACTCTTTAGGACCAAGCACACCCATTATTATGCTCAGCTTACCTATAGAGAGAATCAATTTAGAACTAAAAAGGAATTAATAGTTAGGTTAATACTTTCCTCTTCCTCCTTTCCATACTCCTACCTTCATTGACCTCTCTTTTTAAACACTCTGTGGGAAGGCTAAAAACTCTGAATGCGCTTCCCCATTAAAGGTGAGAAGTCAGATGGGGTGTGTGGGTGTGGGTCATCCTGTCCCTGCTCCCGCTCTCCCTGCTGGGGGGTGAGCTCGGTTTGAGGACCTTGGGTATTCATAGCATCATGGACACCCTTTTTGGTTATGCCATGCTGTTTTCTTATAAGTTATTTTCCGTTTTCTCCCCTTCACCTAGACTGGCCAGAACGGATATCTAAATGACATCAGGTTAGTACCACTTAGCATGTTCCCTGCTTCTCATTGAGCTTTGTCAGTGAGGTTAATATAATCCTGTAATGATGCTTTTCTTTGATGTTAACCAACAGACTCTCCAAAGAAGCCTTTTCTTCTAGCTCTCACAAGAGAAGGCAGATTTTTAGGTACCTCTGTGTGGTCTCTCCCCTTGTTTTTGTTCGTTTGTTGTTTAATTCTGTTTTGCTGTATCTCTTCAGCAGAGCAAGTTTGCTCCATGCATGGCTGCTTGTGGAATAAGTCAGTTTGTGGTTTTTGCAACATTGGATATTTTCCCCATTTAAAAAAATGGCTAGTGCTCAATGACTTTACTTTTATTGTTGCTGATTTCTTTGTAAGTCGTGGATAGGTGGTGAAGGGGACCAAATAAGTATGTTTAGGATAGGTACTGCTCTATTTCAGAAGTTTGCTGAAACTGAGCATTTTTGGAGGATTTCAGCATATATTTGAAAGTGAAAGTCGCTCAGTCATGTCTGACTCTCTGCGACCCCATGGACTATACAGTCCATGGAATTCTCCATGCCAGAATACTGGAGTGGGTGGCCTTCCCCTTTTCTAGGGGATCTTCCCAACCCAGGGATCAAATCCAGGTCCCCTGCACTGCAGGTGAATTCTTTACCAGCTGAGCCACAAGGGAAGCATATGAAGGTAAAAGAACGGATGTCTTTTGGCTGCCTTTTCCAAATCTATGGGAAGATGTGAAGAACTTATCTCTCACCCAGCACAGGGGAATATTTTGTATCCTTAAGAAGGAATAGTACACACACATATTTAAAGAAAGCATAGGAACACCTCTGTCTGTGTGGTTTTCTCTTTAGGACAATGTAACGTGTAAGATGAGCTCAGAAATACCTTAGAATGGACTTAGGGCGTGTCCATGACTTATTCTTAATGTTGCTGAAAGCCACTGTACTAACTTCTCCTGTGCCTCACATTCTCCGTTTTCCACAAAGCAGTTGTGAGCGTCTCCCTTCATCTGTCTCTCAGGCCCATCCCAGACAATTACAGAGGCAGTGTGAGAGAAGCACCTTAGGACTGTATCCTGACACCGACTCATTTTAAGTGTATACTTTCCATTTTGCCAACAGAAAACTGTAGAGTACAGGAAACCTGACGATTTGATGCTAGGATTCAGGTGTCACCCTTTCCAAAGGGTTCATCTCTTTCCTCAGTCCTGAGCTCGATGCTGCTTTTGCGTAGGCACTTCAGTCACGTCTAACTCTGTGTGACCCTGTGGACTGCAGACTGCCAGCCTCCTCTGTCCCTGGGGTTCTGTGGGCAGGAGTGCTGGAGTGGGCTGCCGTGCCCTCCTCCAGGGGCTCTTCCCAGCCCAGGGACTGAGCCCAGGCCTGCTGCATTGCAGGCGGACCCTTTGCCACTGAGCCGCCAGGGAAGCCCCCTGAGCTTGATGTGTGCTCACTCGCGCATGTCAGTACAGCTGTCATCCCCGCTGCTTTAGCAGTCCCTCCTCTGTCACCCTGTCGAGAGCTAATTAAACCGCGTGGAGATTGGGATAGCAAGATCGCCTCTTCTTGGGAAGGAGAGTCATCTCCCATTGCACATCCCTGAACTCTCCTAGACCAGCCTGCCCTGAGGTCCGCCCAAAAGCCCAGGCAGACGGGCTGTGCATTGTTGGTGGTCCGCAAGACAGAGTCCCCCTAAAAAATCTTACTCCGTAACCACTCCAGAGTACCTGTAATAAACGGAGCTTTTAAATGAAAAGTGTGTGACACTGCGCAGCACTTTATCGTTGCCACAGTATACTGTATCTGGTTGAATTCTCTGAGTATCCTGATCTGGTGAGTTGGTTTACATGTAGGAGAGCAAAAGCAAGAGAGATCAAGTGCCTAGCCAAGTTTACGTGGCTGTTAGAGGTAAAAGCTGGGACTGACTCTGCCCAGGGTTCTTTTCACCACACTACACAAGCTGTCCATAAATGCCACGCCTAATTGATGCGCTGATGAGAATGATGCCCTTGTTGGTGCTGGGGAGCATCAGGCCGCATCACACTGTGCAGGTAAAGCCCAAAGGAGCTGGTGAGCAGGTGCAGCCTTCTGTCCAGACCTCCTTTTAAGCTACTGCTTTCCATGCTGAGTTTTGATTAAAGATCTAGGTCATCTAAAATGCAGCTCCATGGACTCTTCAGGGGGTAGCTTCTTCCTCTATTTGGGTACTAGTCCAGAGCTCAAATGATTTGAAGCTGATTTTCTCTAACTTTAAACCTTTCTTCCCAGGCGTGTGAAACAAATACTGACATATCAGATTCCATTATCTACAGTAGCTACATTATTGCTAATGTAGATAATAATATCTGTGGCAACTTCTCTGTCTTGGAAGATTCCACTCCACTGCTCCACTGATAAATAAGCTACCTGAGGTTTACTGATGCTTATTGCCACCTCTTTCATGGGCCTGTCTACCCAAGACCAATAAACATGACTTTTCACCAGCACTGAATTTACTTGTAAAAACTAAGTTGTTTCCTGATTGTGCTATCAAGTGTGAATGTCTCTGTCCTTCGCCTCCATCTCACCATCACATACACAACCCAATCCAGTGCTTAGAATTAAATCTAGTAACTTTCGCTAATTGCCTTATTTTTTTGTGAAGTACAAAGACGTGACTTGAGATTAGCTTTAGTTGTAGAGAAATAGAGTTAATCTCTCTTCCTAGTCCAGACTCAACTTAGATCCTCCACCTCTCAGGGGTGTAGTGTACTAACCCAGGTTAGAAGATCATCAGACAGTCCACATTTGAGCACTAGGCTGTTACTCTCCTGGGGGAACTGGATCAGTACAGAAGCGCTGCCAATTTGGCTCAAGTTTCCCAGGTGTTAGGTTTAAAGTTGACTCATTTCACTACTGCTGGTAGAAAAAGAACGTAAATGGCAGAATTGCTCTGACGGAGAGTTAGTGTTTGACTTAGATATAAGAGGTTGTTAGGGCTTGTCCAGTGTCTAATGAGCGGCCTCATTCATCGCCGCTGCTGTGTCGCCACGTCCCACAGACAGACACATCTTCACTGAGCCCAGTCAGTAGATATGAGCTGTTGGCTCTTATTTCAGGTTGGTTCTGTTCCTGGAGAGTCCCTGAGCTGTTCTTAGGTCTTGTTTCCCATTCTACTTTTGACATCCCCAAGAGAAAGGGGGTAAAGTATTGGGGAAATATGAGTATTTTCCAGTCTTCTATCCTAACTATATAGAGAGAAGCATTGAGGTTCTATGTATCAATACATCTGCTTAAGATTCAGAGAATTAGCATGTCCCTAACCATCTAGGCCCCCCATGATTGACTGAAAACTAAAATAGTGACCCTAGCAGACATTTTTTCTATTTTCCCTACAGTATCTTTGGAATAGACATTCTAATAAAAAAAGTATTTTCTTTAATATTACCCCCTTAAGAAAAATACCTTTCTTTATTAGAATAGCTCCGAGCCTGATGTCTTTGAAGAGCTGTGGGCTTTGGGATAGAGTATTCTGTTAGCTTTGGGTGGGAAAAAGCGGGAACCCAAGCTACCATGATTGTTGTTCAATTGCTTTCTGGCATACATATCAGAATCTTCAGAATTGTTATCATTTGGTTTTCCTAGGTCATTAGTTATTGGAGTGGTGGGGGATCTGAAAGGAGAATTCCTGACTATTGATTGCTTATCAGTTAAGTGGTAGTAAGAGTTAACACTAAGTGTTTTCAGGCTGACCTCAGATAGCTTGAGGAGCACAGCTGTTTATAATTACAGTGATTATAGTATCAGGCTAACCCGGATGTTTCCAGAGTAAAATAAGAGGATGAATCCCTTTTCTAGGTAGCCTTGTGCCTTACCTGGGGCAACAGTGTTATTAATACGGAGGCGATGAGGCACAGTCAGCCCCCTCCTCTTTGCCATCCTGAGTCCTAAGGATGTGTCTGCTTGATTGTGCTGAGGATGTCAGCCTCTAGAGACCCTGGAATAAATTATTCTCAGATACTAACCCAAGACTTCCACAGAACAGGTTACGTTGATTCCAGACTCTCAGACTGAGTTTTCTCTTTATCACACTCAAGTGCCCCTTTAGTCACTGCGCTCTTCTTCCCAACCCTGAAAAAGTGGCCGTAAGCAACATCTCTGCTGGCTCAGACGTGTGTTACATGGAAGACCTGATGTGAGATTTATCCCTGTTGGCTGCTTCTGCCTTCTAGCAATAGGAACTTCTTGGAGTCCTTTTGTTTCAAGAACTCCCAGAAGGAGCTAGTACCCCTGTGCTCCCCACTGTTTCCTGCATGTGTGGGAACCCTGCAGGGCCAGGGGAAGAGACCGCAGCCAATCTCAGCATCATGTACGTGGTTTCCCATCCACCTCTGGTCTGCTGTACTGAACTAGTTGCCAGCGCACTGTCTTCCAGATTTGCCTCTGTGCTCTTTGTACTGTACTGGATCTTGTTCTGTCTGCTCCCATCAAGTCTTGGTTGGCTAGCCAACTAACACGAAGTCAGTGTCCATTCTCCCCACCCCTCACCCCTTCTCTGTTACTGAAAGAATAGAAATGAACTCTCTCCTAGCCCTTCTGCTGAAGTGGTAGGTGGGAGGTGCTCTGACCACTGTGGTCTCTGCAGGGGGAACCGTGAGGGGCTGAGCCGCACCTCCAGCAGCCGCCAGAGCAGCACAGACAGCGAACTCAAGTCCCTGGAGCCACGGCCGTGGAGCAGCACGGACTCTGATGGGTCTGTCCGGAGCATGCGGCCCCCTGTCACCAAAGCCAGCAGCTTCAGTGGGATCTCCATCCTCACCCGGGGTGACAGCATCGGGAGCAGCAAAGGTGGCAGTGCAGGAAGGCTCTCCAGGCCAGGTACCCCAGCTTCTCTCCTTCCATCACTGCTTGCGTATCTTCTGCACAACATCACTGATAGTCACTTTTAACAAAACACGTGTCCCATATTGTGTCCCAGAACCTAACACAGCCAGATGAGGGGAGTTTGATTTCTTGGATCCATTGTCCTTTGAGTTCCTCTCTGATTTCCTTTCTAACCTTTTTTCCTAATTGAAAATAAACTGATTGGAATTAGATTATTTTGCAAGATTTCTGTCCAAGGCGGGACAGCCCTGTCAACCCTGCTTCAGGTTGTGTACTGAAATAAGGATGATTCTGAGGCCGCTGAGACTATACAATGGGCTTGTAAAGTAGAGGGAGCCTTGGAGTTGGTAGTTTTTAGTTAATTGGGAGCAGCCAACAGGCTTGAAACTTGAAGCGTCACTGCTGCAGCTGCTTCTCTGGAGCCCGGTCACGGAACAGGAGTGTGTCCCGCCTGCCAGCCTGGGAGCGCCCGTCAGCTCCCCTGAGCTGCTGTGTGACTCTCTGCACTGATCCCTGCTGCACTCTCAGCAGGGGCCGTGCAGCTCGTTGCCCAGTCAGTCGCTGTCTCGCCGTCCTCCTGCCTCTGCAGAGCTGCTCGACTTTCCATCCCCCGAGTTCTGTTGGTCTTGTCCTCAGAAGCATCAGTAGCAGCAGAGTCTGCTTTTCTGTTACACTGCTCTGTGACCTCTTTTCTGATCCCACTGCCTCTGCCTTTATCCAGGCTGGTTTCCCTGCCTTATCCTCAGCTGACCACGCTGTGCAGCTTGCAGGGATCTTAGCTCCCCAACCCTGGATTGAACCTGGACCCTCAGCAGTGAAAGTGCATTGTCCTAACCACTGGACCGCCAGGGAATTTCTTATTCTCAACCCTCTTTTGAGCCAGTTTACTAATCTAAAACATAGATCTAATCACATCAGTCTCCCTGTAAAAACATTCACGGTTCTGCATTTCTTGCATAATAAAATCCAAATTACTTAATATAGCATAACTTCCTGACTCCAGTTTGCCATCTCAGTCTTACTTTCAAACGTTCATCCTCTCCTGACCCTCCAACCATTTTCTGAGTATGGCATTAGCTTTGTCTCCTCTCAGCCTGAAAAGTCTTCTGTTCATCCCTCAAACCTGTCTCTTCTGCCACTTCCTCTTTAAATTCTTCCCTCTAGCCCTCCCAAGAGTTATACTTCCTAATCTTTGCTTTCATACAACTTTATTTATATCACTGATGCATCCTTTGTCCTTGAAAGTGAAAGTCACTGTGTCGTGTCCAACTCTTTGCAACCCCATGGACTATACAATCTGTGGAATTCTCAGGCCAGAAAACTAGAGTGGGTAGCCTTTCCCGTCTCCAGGGGATCTTCCCAACCCAGGGATCGAACCCAGGTCTCCCGCATTGCAGGTGGATTCTTTATCAGCCAAGCCACAAGGGAAGCCCTTTACCCTTATCAGATTGTAATCACGTGGATGTCCATCTCCACTGGAAGATCCTGTCCTCTTCAAGGACAAGGACTGTGTTTCCTTTACCTGTGTATCCTCAGTTCACTGTACAGTGCTTCACGTGGTACATATTCAGTAAAAGTATTTTGTGTAAATGCATTCGTGACTTGGACAGCCTGGAAATGAGGAAAATAGTTGGATGATGGCTGTGTGTGGGGTGTGCGCACAGCCATGTACTTGGACGTTGTCTTCGGCAACTTTTATGAGATGCTGCAAGTTGAGAAGAAATGAAAAGAGAAGACAGGTCTCTTAAAGGACTAGGAATATATACCTTCCCAGGAAGCAAACATTCATTTTTCCAGCTGTCTAATCATGATGGACAGATTCTAGGCATTCCAGGGGTTCATTTTCAAAACCAAACCTTGACAGTCAAGATGGTTATGGACACTGGGGAGTGGAAACCTGCTAAGATGAGGATTCCCATCAATAGGACATCCGAAATGCATCTCTTGCTCATGCATGGATCTCCTAAGACAGTGGGAAGTCGAAGGGGAATGACAAGGACGTCCGCAAGGAAAGAGTCAGGCCCTACGACTGGGCCCTCCAGGGGTGGTATGTTCATGGCTTGTGCTTACAGCTCTTGCTGGATCTCCTCTGTGCCTTAGGAATGGCGCTAGGTGCCCCAGAAGTGTGCAGCCAGGTCACCTCATCCCAGTCTGTCCGGGGCCTTCTCCCGTGTACTGCCCAGCAGCAGCAGCAGCAGCAGCTTCCTGCTCTCCCGCCCACGCCTCAGCAGCAGCCGCCCTTGAGTAGCCACATGATCTCACAGGTGAGTCAGCACGCAGTGTTGGAGCCCCCCGCTCTGACTCAAGCAAGCTCTGGAAGTACAGTCATGTCTCTTGTATTGTGGGTGGCAGGAAAGATCTGTTTTTGGAGACATGCCTCTCCCTCCCCCACTTCTGGTTTGTTAGTTGTGGGGAGAGAGGAGTAAGGGCAGAGGTTTGGCCAAAGGGCTCTTAGTAGAGTCAGCCTGGGAGGTTTTTGTTTTTTTTCTGCTTTATATTTCCTTCTCTTCGTTTGGAAACTGTCAGTGGGATGTGTTACCCTCTCCCGTGTTTCTGCTTCACTGTCCGTCCGGGAACTGTCAGTGGGATCTGTTACCTCTCCCGTGTTTCTGCTGCACTGTCCGTCCGGGAACTGTCAGTGGGATCTGTTACCTCTCCCGTGTTTCTGCTGCACTGTCCGTCCGGGAACTGTCAGTGGGATCTGTTACCTCTCCCGTGTTTCTGCTGCACTGTCCGTCCGGGAACTGTCAGTGGGATCTGTTACCTCTCCCGTGTTTCTGCTGCACTGTCCGTCCGGGAACTGTCAGTGGGATCTGTTACCTCTCCCGTGTTTCTGCTGCACTGTCCGTCCGGGAACTGTCAGTGGGATCTGTTACCTCTCCCGTGTTTCTGCTGCACTGTCCGTCCGGGAACTGTCAGTGGGATCTGTTACCTCTCCCGTGTTTCTGCTGCACTGTCCGTCCGGGAACTGTCAGTGGGATCTGTTACCTCTCCCGTGTTTCTGCTGCACTGTCCGTCCGGGAACTGTCAGTGGGATCTGTTACCTCTCCCGTGTTTCTGCTGCACTGTCCGTCCGGGAACTGTCAGTGGGATCTGTTACCTCTCCCGTGTTTCTGCTGCACTGTCCGTCCGGGAACTGTCAGTGGGATCTGTTACCTCTCCCGTGTTTCTGCTGCACTGTCCGTCCGGGAACGGTCTGTGGGATCTGTCACCTCTCCCATGTTTCTGCTTCACTGTCCGTCCGGGAACTGTCTGTGGGATCTATTACCTCTCCCGTGTTTCTGCTGCACTGTCCGTCCGGGAACTGTCAGTGGGATGTGTTACCCTCTCCCGTGTTTCTGCTGCACTGTCCCTCTGCATCCTGTGAAATTTCAAGGTGGCTTTGCTTCCTGTGTCCACACGTGGAACTTGAAAAGATCACAGCTCCCACCATAGTCTAGCTGAATGTATTTATATGACTGTTGAGCCATAAAGAAATATTTATATATTGGGGTTTAGGGAAAAGTAAATAACCCTTATCAAGACTCATGTGCCATAAGCACATGCTCAGTCACTTCAGTTGTATCTGACTCTTTGTGAACCCATGGACTATAACTCGCCGGACTCCACTGTCCATGGGATTCTCCAGGCAAGAATACTGGAGTGGGTGGCCATTTCCTTCTCCAGGGGATCCTCCCCACCCAGGGATCAAACCTGCGTTTCCTGCATTGCTTGTGGATTCTTTACCCACTGAGCCATCTAGGAAGCCCAACCACAAAGCCCCCAGTGCTGTCTTTGTCTCCCATGCCATAAAAGAGCTCTCTTTCCCCTTCTGTTGTTGGGCTGTTAGACATCGGTACCAACTAGGGTTTGAGAAAGGTTTGCTTCTGTGGAGACCATGCAAGTGATCAGCATAAGAATCAGATCCTATTCTAAACTGGAACGTCCTACATGTTTTAGGTGTAATGTCTCTTTAGTACTCTGAGGAGAACTGTGCTGAGATCTTCACTTTCTCTTTTCTTCCATGAATAGAGCCTGCACTTTCTTCTGCAGTATTCTCTGGTAGTCAGGAAGCCAATGTATCTGTGCTTTTTTCTGCTGCAGTTGAAGTTCTCTTTTCACCTCCCAGACCCCCTTAGCTCCATGCTGTTAGTCTAGCTTGGCCTCAGATCTCTTCCATAGATACAAGAAGAAGTCCTCAGCACTGATTCCCCAAGGATGGAAACTAGAGTGGGGACACTGCAGACTGGCTCATCACTGCCCCGTTCAATGTATTGGAAAATGAAACTAAAATAAAGAATGTGAAGGTCTAGGAAACTCTGCTTTGTAGCTTCACACACATGCCGGTCATTCCAAGTCCTTCATCTCAGTCCCTAATCAGTTTCTCTATGGTCCTGACTTTCTGATTCTACCCCCACTGTCTGTCCACCACCTCGTTAGGGCTCATTCGCATCAGCTCAGCTCCCTCCATGCTGAAGCGTAGCATGTGTGTGTGCTCTCCCCTCTGGGTCTTAATTTAGACCTGTGAGTGAGGAAACTCTGAACTTCTCCCTCTGGCCTTCCCCTGCTGCTTCTGTGTATGTGCTGTACTTTTTTAAGGTCCCAGAATAGTTCTTGTTTTCTCTAAAACGTGTGTATTTTAATACAGTTCTGTTTCCTTGTCTTCCTTTTAGTCTTCCGTCTGTCTCCTCCATCCATCCGTATCTAGAGACAGACAGCAAGAGTGGGAGGGGGATAAAGACATAAGTAAAGAGAAGAACCATTTGGGACTGAAAAACTTTTAGATAGAATGTTCAGGTGACTGGCCCTAAATCCCAAACTTTTACTCAGATTCTTTCCGTGTTTCTTGAGTCATGACGGTCACTGGGTTGGTTGTTGGTATCGACTGATCATCTCCAGGCAGTACAGTGCTAGATTAGGTTGTGTAAATTGGGGACAGAGGAACATTATTTGGTACAGAGATCTCAGAAATTTATTGTTGCGCTTAATTGTTATCACAAACTCCAAACTGAAAAAATCTTATGCTGGTTAATTTTGGTGTCTCTAAAGCACTCATGGTAGCTGCCCCACTATATACATCTCCTTTTCTCTTTACCCCTTTCTTCCTCTTCCTACTGTCCTTTTCTTTCTTCCTTTCTCTTTACCCCTGTCTCAACACTGGCGGCTCTCCAAACTCAAGTTGTTAAACCCCAGGATATTTACCATTTCATTTCTCAGTAGTATGTAACGGGATGAAGGAAGTGACCACACGCACACACCACTGTGCTTACCCTAAAGGTTTTCCTTTTGAAGAAAAACCTTTAGCTTTGTAGCAACAAGCATTTGCCCCAGGCCTGGGGGACAGTTCCGGGTAAGCTCTGCTCTTTCCCATCTTGGCACCCCCTGCTGTTAGAGCAGGCTTCCATATCACAGATCAATAGAACGTTTGAAACCAGGGAGTGATCCTGAGGATTAAAGGGCCAGTGGCTCCCTTTTGCTCAATTAACTTAGAGTAGACCTTTTCAAAAGGAGTCCTCTGGGCCTCTCCCTGGAGTCCAGTCAGGATTCAAGAGCAACGATCTAGCCCAGAAGTCACCAGTAGGTGGCAGTCACATCCCCAGGGCCAGTCTCTAGCTTTGAGACTCTCCCAAGAGGACTGTGCCTGAGGGTAGTGGTCGATTAACTTAAAAACAGCGCTGAGAACACGTGCCTCTACCACTCCCTTCCTCAGTCTGGAGGGGCCGGACAGAAGAGCATTGTTTCTTTGCTCTTCACTTTTTTTTTAATTATTTTTTTTTATTGAAGGATAATTGCTTTACAGAATTTTGTTTTCTGTCAAACCTCAACATGAATCAGCCATAGGTATACATATATCCCCTCCCTTTTGAACCTCCCTCCCTCTCTTCACTTTTTATTCAAAACTCACAAACATGAGGAGAAACAGGCAGTTATTTTACGACTTCACTGTCCCTAAGGTCTCCCGTTGTCCACCAGAGAACGTAAGGCCTGACATATGGCAGGCCATCCCTCAAGAGGGAGAAATGGATTAGGATCATAGAAAACGGGTCTAAAAGTTACCAGCACATGCTGAGCAGCTTGGCCAGCAGTTATATTTGGAATATCGCCGACTTACAGAAAATAGGTATGCCAGCGTTGCCGAGAGTTTGTTCTCAAGGCTGTGGCAGCGTCTCACTCAGGTCACACAGTTGATTCTCGGTAACTTTTTCCTAGATGATTTACATTGTATTCAGTGCAAATATCAGGAGTATTTTCCATATTGGGAGTCTTCTGATTTTTGGACTGCCTGCCTCTGGAGCTGTTAATCCCCTCTGAAAGGGTCTCCCAGGAGAGATATGGTAGGCAGATATATATATATTGATGCCTTGGTTCCCCCACAACTAACTCTTAATACTCTAAATTTGAAAGGAGGAAGGAGAATTATACAAACAAAAAGATATTTCTGTAATTGTTTGACTTCTTGCTTTACCTTTTCCCTACTGCTGGAGTGGAGTGGAAAGAACATATGTCAGGCACAACTAGGTTCCTGTCCCTCCTCTGCCACATTAGCTGTGTGATCCTGGGTATGTGATTTAATTTCTCTGAGCCCTATTACCTTAGTTGCAAATACACATTATCTCCCTATCAGCTAATTGTGAGGTGGTAATGAGATAAGTGTATGTAAATGAGCAGTGTATCTCAGTGTTCCCTCCCCCTCTCCTCAGAGGGCTCGAGAAGCTATGACTGGAGAGCTGATGAGGTGATTGAAATGACTGGAGGGGAAGAAGAGAAAAAAATAACTCCTTATTAGTTTGTTTAGAAAACACCATGTCCCTAATAAACAATCCTCCTGCTTGAGGCAAGTGAAGGAACCCAAGGAACAAAAGCTAAAACTAGGCTATTTATATTTTATTCCTAAATCCTTCCCTGTTTGCTTATGGGAGCATTTTTAATACTGCCCTGTCAGCCTGGAGGAGCACGGGAGAATATCATGGAGCAGGAGGAAGTAGCGCATGAACTGGCTTGTTTTTCCTTCTTTGCCCTCGGGAGGGAGATGATCCTTATAAATGAGCACTCCTTCAAAAGAGCTGTGGTGTGAAGTCAGGAGCCTGCCTGGGAGAACCGAGCTAAACCTTGGATGACCCTTGCTACAGAAGCAGGAGTCCCTTCTCAAGGAGGGTTTGGCTCCCCGGGAGTCCTGTGCCTGGGAGAAATGCCTCGGGAACAGACTGTCTAGAACCGGGCAGCAAACCCCCCCCAGCTCTGAGAGCCCTGAGGTTGTATACAGCAGCTGCGGAGTTCCGATTGTCTGCAGTGGGTCTGTGCTGATGGGGGAGCTTGCCTGTTGGTCAGCGATGTGAAAGCTAGAGACCAAGTCTGCCGTACTCTTCCTGTGAAATTTCTCGTAGGATTAACCTTGTTGTTCCTCCCTTCCTCCCCTTCTCTGCCTCACCCCTCCCCCTCCCCGCCTCTCCCTAACCTCCGGTGCTCTCGCCTTCCCTCGTCTCACTGCTGGTCCACAGCCAGTCCCAGCCCTGCAGCCGTCTCCGCAGCCTGTTCAGTTCTCTCCAGGCTCCTGTCCCCAAGTTCTTCTGCCAGTCTCTCCGCCCCAGCAGTACAACATGGTATAAACTCCATTCCCCCTTTGTGTCTTGTTCGTGTGTGGCCTGTGTCTATGGGCATGTCTGGGCAGTCTGTGACAACCTTGCAAAGCAGTTATGCCTTTTAGAGGACCATTGTTAGGAACATATTTCTTCTTTAGGGGCCGGCACAGGCTGAACTATACTTCATTTCTAGTGACCTCCTCACAGTACTTCAGGCATCAAAGATGCCTAAGTGTAAGACAGAGAACAGAGCTCCCCTGAGTTTCAGGAGGGGAACAGGATCAGACGTTGATCTAACCTGGGCTCCTCTTCCTCTCCACCATGTGCATTCTCCATCGCATCTGCCTCCCGGCCATGTTGGAGGAACCCAGTGTATTCTGTGCTGTAGAGAATGATTCTCTATAATTTCCTTTAAAAATAAAAACACAGTTGCAGATTTCTCTGGTACCACTGGTAAAAGCTTCAAATGTTTCCCTGTTTTACATAAAAATCCTCTTCTGTTGTATAGCATGTGCTGTTTAGATTGTTTGTACCCTGACAAATCCTTTATAAAGATCTGGTCTGTCTCATAGTTGGTGACTTCTAGCCCTGACTTTTTTCCAATTTTGTGTTAATCATACCTGTCTGCTTTTTCAGTAGAATCCCTTTTCTTTCACCTCTTAGCTCCATACTGAAAAGTTCTAGAATATGAACCTCAAAATGGTAACTGCAATCCAGTGCTCTTATCATCTGTTCCTTCCCACTAAGTTAGCAAAATAGCTAAGATCAGATCCATGAAAATTGAGTGAAGCCACAGGAAAGCACTAGCTTTTGTTTCTGCTAGTCTCGTTTGCAGAACTTCTGCTCTGCATGTGCGTGTGTATGTGTGTATTGATTACTATCCACGGAGCAAAAGAGACGAGAAAGTTCACAGACCGACCTATCGCTATACGAGTGAGAGATGGGACGCCCTCACCCTCGCTGCTTGGAGAAGAGGGCTGAGAGAGAAGGCAACTACAGATCAGTCAGTCAGTCTCTCTCCCCAGCTCAGCAGCTCACCCTGGCCTCCTTTCAGAGGCGAGAATTGGAAGTGGTTTCTGAAGGGCAGGAGAACACTCGCAAGTGTCAGAGAACAGAGGTGGAAATGACTTCAAGAGGGAGTAAGGAGATAAGCAGCAGGAGCTGGGATCCCACCAGTCTTTCCAATGCATAGGCAGAGCTGGGGAGCCACATGAACCTACCGATCATCCACACAAGGTGTTATCCAGGTCCTTTATTATAAAAATGAGATTTATGACAACATATACGCCCTTTGCATGGTTGGAGGCATGAGGAAGACAGGAAATGGAAAGACTTAAATAGTCTTTTTTTTCCCCACTAGTTTGTCCTGTTTTTTCTATATATAGAAGTTGTGTCATTGCTCCCATTTCCCCAGGACTAATTCTAATAAAGGTCATAATCATAGTGGCCGTTGTTACCTCATATGTGATAGGGAGACTGGCTCTGGAGTTAGGCTTCAGACAGCTTTCGAGTCATAGCAGTTTGAAACACCACATGACAGAGTCTTGGGCTAAAAAGTACCTTCCAGGGCACAGAGGTGGGAACATCCCAAACTGGTATGAGGAAGGCGGTAGAGAGGGTTGCTATTTCTGTCTGTCTGTGTTGAAGTCAAAGACCTGGGGCTTGATATGACCTCAGTCCTTGGGTCTTCCCCACTCTCTCAACAGGCAGATGATCTCAGCAACCCCTTTGGACAAATGAGCCTTAGCCGCCAAGGTTCTACTGAAGCAGCTGACCCATCCTCAGCTCTGTTCCAGCCCCCACTTATCTCCCAGCACCCTCAGCAGACTAGCTTCATCATGGCGTCTGCAGGGCAGCCCCTCCCTCCTTCCACCTACTCCAGCTCTGGCCATGCACCACCTACTCAGCAAGTCCTGCCACCCCAGGGCTACATGCAGCCCCCTCAACAGGTGAGTGGCTTGGGTTTCCAGTCTAAATCATGAATTCAGTTTATCCAGTATTATAAACCTCCTTTTTTCCTCTAGTTTAGACAGACCAGAGGAGATACCTGTCTGCTACCCACCTCCATTTCCCCACCTTTCTCTTGAGAATTGTCTTTCTAGTCAGAAGGACATCTGTCAAATAACACAAGTCCTTCCTCTTCTGTTTCAAACTTGTACACAAATGCTGCAGTTGCAGACCCAAAATATTTCTGTTTACAGACTCCTGGAATCAACTGTGATGTATTTAATAATTAGGGGACGTTGGGGGCTGAATTTGAGGGACCTTCTCATACATCTGTTTCCTCTCACCATAGATCCAGGTGTCTTACTATTCCCCTGGACAGTATCCCAATTCCAACCAGCAATACCGACCTCTGTCTCACCCGGTGGCCTATAGCCCCCAGCGTGGTCAGCAGCTGCCTCAGCCATCCCAGCAGCCTGGTAAGAGGAGCTGCTGATGTAAGGAGGCAGCGAGTAAGGGAAGGACAGCGACTGGGAAAGAATTACGCTCCCTGTTTAAAAAGCGGTGGGGGAGGGGAGTAGTGGCCGGAATGGTTAGGGTCCTAAAGAGGAACCTGTGATCTCCAAAAAGGAAGGAAAGTGACTAAGAGAGTGTGACCTCTGCTGATGTCTTCTCTACTCTGCCTGCCCCTAGGTTTACAGCCCATGATGCCTAATCAGCAGCAGGCGGCTTACCAAGGCATGATTGGGGTCCAGCAGCCACAGAACCAGGGCCTGCTCAGCAACCAGAGGAGCAGCGTGGGGGGCCAGATGCAAGGCCTGGTGGTTCAGTACACTCCACTGCCTTCTTACCAAGTGGGTGCATTCTGAGTGGGGAACGACCCAGTCCTCGGGATGAGGAAAGGAGGACAGTTCACACGGCTGTCCTCGGGGCTGACAGCTCCAACACTGAAACACTGCTTGCTTTACCTCTAGCACTTGTAGGGTTTCTTCCTCTGAAGGAAGGTCCAGAGAGTCTGAGAAGAGTCTTTATTTAAACTGTTTGGTCTTTATACCATGCAAATGAGCACATGCCCAGAAAAGTAGGATCCAGAGGAAGTTAGGCTCCTTCCTGTACATCAGATACCCAGAGGCATGTTTGGAGGAGGGGCGTGGGCGTAGCACTAAGCGTCTCTTTTAGGTGAGGAGGCTAAGAGGGTCTCTCAAGGTCGGGGAGGAGGTTAGAGTGTCCCCATCCAGTGATGACTGAGCTGTTCTTTGGGTGACTTCATTTCGAGTAAAAGTGGTCATTCTCTTCTTGTCTTCACCCAGGTCCCAGTGGGTAGTGACTCACAAAATGTGGTCCAGCCGCCTTTCCAGCAGCCCATGTTGGTCCCTGCAAGCCAATCTGTGCAGGGGGCCCTCCCCGCAGGGGGTGTTCCAGTGTACTACAGCATGATCCCGCCCGCCCAGCAGAACGGCAGCAGGTGAGGGCTCCCAGAGAGACGGGCGCGTCTCCCGCAGACCTTCAGCAGCTGTTGCACCGTGGCTTTTATCCCACTGGAAAAGAGAGGCAGGGGTGACGATTCCAGGGGCAGGGGCTTCCTGGTGCTCCGGCGACGGCTCAGACTCAGTGCTGCCAACGCAGGGGGCCTGGGTTCGATCCCTGCTCAGGGGACTAGACTCATGTGCCTTAACTAGGACTTGGTGCAGTCAAATAAATAAATGTTTATTTTTTAAAAAGCTCAGGGGTACCCCAAAGCAGGTAGAACATGAGGGAGTTCATTCTCCTTGTTAATTTGATATTTGCATAAGAATTCATTAGCAGGAAAAAATTCCTGCTTCAGAAACAGAGACTTGATCATTTCCCCCAGTTTTTGTTTTTCTAATCAGTGGGTTTTAGAACTATGAAATGGAGACTGCTGATTGTTTTTAAAGCAGCAGTTTGGTGCATGCACATGTGAATTTCCCGTGTGCTTCTGCTGCCATGGGTGAATCTGAGGCGTCGTCTCTGTGCGTCTGTTTATACACCTTAGTGTGTCGTTGCTGCTTAGTTGCTAAGTCGTGTCCAGCTCTTCGCAGCCCCGTGGACTGTAGCCTGCCAGGCTCGTCTCTCTGTGGGATTTCCCTGGCAAGAATACTGGAGTGGCTTGTCATTTCCCATTTCAGGGGATCTTCGTGACCCAGGATCGAACCTGCATCTCCTGCATTGGTGGGTGGGCTCTTTAGCACTGGGCCACCAGGGAAGCTCGTATGTCTTAGTATAATGAGTGTAATTTTAGAGATAGAAGTTTATCTTAGAAATATCTAGTCCACTCCCCTTGTTTTATTTTCTGCCCTTCTTCTATAAATGAGGAAATTCCAGCTAGGAATATTAAGAAACTTACTCAAAGTCATACAGCTAGTTAGTAGAAGCAGAGCTGAGACTGGAACTCAGTCTGGGCCTACGTCGATGTATCTCTGTGTCTCAGTGTACATGTGTTTATTTCTGTCTTTTTTTTTTAATGTGTTTTGAGTTTTGTGAGATTTTCCCCTGTTTTTCTTTAATTGATGATCTGTGTTTGCCATTAAGAAAATACCCTGAGTCTCCTTGGTTGTATTTTTGCCCATCTCTCTAGCACTCTAGCCCTGTGTGTCTGTTTCTGGCACTCTCTCTGTGTTTCTGTTGTGTTTCTGAGAGAGAGAAAGAGTGTGTGTGAGTGTGAGTGTGTGTGTGTGCGCGCGCGCGCACGTGCGCGTGCACCTGCGTGAGTTATGTTTTTGGTGTTTCTACACTGTTGGGAGGGGTATGTGTCACCAGCATTCCATCTGTAGCACTGATTAGCAGCTTCCTAATTGAAAGATGATCAAGTAGAAATATATATAATTAACTTTGAACTGATGAGTGATTTTAGAAATTGCATGGCAGATTGGTCTGGGAATGGCTTGGAGCTGCCTTGGCCTCCCACAGCGGAGGCCCAGGAGGCCACAGCTGTCTGCCAGGAGCAGTGTTCCTCCTCTCCCGCTTTACCAGTCCCCTCTTCTCCGTGTCCGCAGCCCTTCTGTGGGGTTTCTGCAGCCTCCTGGCTCTGAGCAGTACCAGATGCCTCAGCCTCCCTCTCCCTGCAGCCCGCCGCAGATGCCACAGCAGTACTCAGGTAAGAGCGCAAAGGCCGGCGGGGCCCTGGGCACTGCTGAAGAGCTGGGTCAGGCAGAAAGGTTCAGGGGTGGGCTCTGTCCCCAGCTGTGACTTCATCAGGAGGAACGACCGAAGGCCTGGCTGGCTGCTGTTCCCCAGAGGTGTTGGAACTGACCCCCTCGAGAGGTGAGGTGGTGTGCCAGATCCTGATCCCTGCCCCCGGGGAACCGCGTGGCGACTGGGTTCCTTGTTCCCTTCCTCTCTCCTTCGTTTCTTTCTCTCTCTGCTGAATCCAGCATTGTGACTGGGTTACGATGCACATACCTTTACGACATAAAGTGCTTCTATCTCTGTCTCTTGCACTCATTCTTCCTATAAATAGCTTTTCTTTTCTCTTGGGAGTGTGAGGGAGGCTGATAAAATGCTTTTAAAATTGTATCTTAGATTTGTTTAGCAATTTTTCATTTGTACTTACATACATTGTGTCCTTTTAATTCTCTCCACAACTTTGTGAAGAGAAAATTTAAGACTCAAAAGAGGGATAAATTTTGTGTAAGGTCACAATCCTAAAGCTTGCACTTGGGTCCTTTGACTTTCTGTGGCCCCTGCTGCATCCTCTGACGCATTTTCAGCAGGTTTCTGTGCTATATCCCTTTCCCTCCAGTGGAAGCAAACAGGCCTCCTTTGGAGGGGCTGGTTACCCCGTGTCAGTGCACTTAATGCCACACAGCTTGTCCGTCTTTGCCTAGAACCGCCCCCACCCCCCAATATACCAAGCACAACTGCTGTTCCCCTCTCACCCTACCCTGACCTATCATTGCACTGCATTTAAATTGACTTCAGGGGTTCTGGAGGGGAGGGGCTCTTAAGGCAGCCTCCAGCCTTCCTCATTCCCCTCTACAGTAGGAATGTCAGAGTGCCCTCTTCTGGTGAGATAAGGTATTTTGCCAGTTTTTCATATTTTAGAAATGGGATCTTTTTCACACAAGATTTTCTGTACTCTGTGTTGGGTGCTGTGGAATAGATTCCAGAATTAATCTTACTCACAAGACCTGATCAATTCTTAGCTTCCAGGAGTAATGATTTCTGCCTTTATCCAAACCAACCATAGATCTCTTACAGGCTGAGGTTTTAAAATTCAACAACCCTTACTACCCTTTACTCCATTATTGGTCTCTCCAGCTGTATCTCCTAGTGTCCGCCAGGGGCAGTTGACCTTGAAATTCCCAACGGGGTATGGAAATGATAGAAACTAGCTCCAAGAACTGCTGTAGCCTGTGGTGGTTCTTGATACCGCAGGGCATTTTCTCTCCGATTTGTTAAGCTAAGTGTGTGTGTGTGCATATGGGTATAGTTGTATGTGAATTTCTGTGTAAATCCTTAGTGGTATATCAGTATATCAACTGGGTCTCTGCATTTATATCTCTTCATATACAAATACAAGGTCTTTGAATTAGAAACAAATCAAGTGAAAACAATTTTGCAGCACCTACTGTGGACCTAATGATAAGTAAACTGAAACAGCTATTGGTTCTGAAAATTGGCACTGGACTGGAATTGGAAGGAGATAATCTAGGCTCTTCCCCAAATTAATAGAAATAGACAAAACCCTCTTCATCATCTTAATTTTCCTTGCTGCTTTAGAATTTTCTAGTATATTTCCTTTCTTTCTAGTCACCCTGATCGACCTACGCTTCTTCCTGACCCCTTGTACTTTTCTTGGATGATGCCCTCTATTCCACCCACATCATCTAAGAGACCTGTTCACCATATCATTGATCTTAAAAATCTTCAATCCCAGGTCATGGGAATCTTAAGAGGAAGTGGAAGAAAAGGAAGAGTGCTTCTTTTGCCTTCCTTTCCAGTTCGCCCTTTACTGGAAAGCTAGAAGCCCAGCACTGCCCACAAGGGCTGCTGTGTCACCTTCAGAGGACAGTCACCCGCCCTTCTCCGTGTAGCAGCATGGTCACTTTTCCAAAAATAAAGGCAGGGATTAGGATTGACTGTTCCTGGAGCAACTGTTCTGGTTTATTAATACATTTTTGTAGTTGCCCAGTTTACCCTCAGGCCTGGACCTTGATTCCTCCACTGTGAGTTTAGATATAACCATAACCCCAGGAAATAGTTTTCTCCCCACTAAAATAATGACTTGCAGGTCCTTTGAGGTTTCTGCAGGCTTGTCTTGGGAAGATGCACACGGACATGAAATGGCAATGAAACCTATGCACAGACTCTCAACTCACAGTGACACAGCAGCGTGGCCAGAGTGAGGTACATACAGAAATAGCTTCCCACATACTTACTGGCTCATTTTGTAGCTGAGGGCTTTCCAAAGCGGAGATAACTCTTTTCTCTCCCCACTTCCTGAAGATAACCCTCTCCCCCACCAAAAAAGGGAAAAAGACGAAGATACTGTAGGATTATAACCTGTAATTTGGGAAAGATGCCTGAGGGATTTTATTTCCCTGGACATTCCTTCCCATAGATTTCACTCCAGATGGTAAAGAAAAAGCCTTATCAGTTTTCTACCTCAGTGATTTAAAAAAAAACAAAACAAAAAAACAACTAAACAAAAACCAGTTCTGCCAGAGACATAAATGTCATCTGCTTATATTTATGGGGTTTGCTCTGCCCGACCGACCTTTCTGCCCAGGTTTAATGATGCCACTTAAAAAGCCATTCACACGTCCCCTCTCTTTTCAGAGCTTTCAAGATGAAATTGATTTCCTTATTCAATTCCCTTCTCCCACTTGCTACTCTAACCCAGGCTTCTTCCCCCAGCCTGATAATATGGAAGTGCTGTCCCTGGGCACTGCCGTGGGGGGTTTTGTTTTGGGAGATGTGGGCAGTTTTTTGCCACGTGCATTAAGAAGTGGCCACAGTTCAGCTGCTCACAGATGCCACCTGCTTCTGGCCTGAGGATGAGAAGCATAAGAATTAGCTCATCAGCAGAGTAGTGCTTCTGTCCTCGGCTGAGTGAAGGAACAGCGCTCCGGGCCAGCGGGGGAGGACTCAGTGTGGGGAGGCTGCGCCTGAGAACCCTGCAGGAGCTCAGGAATGAGGCTGCGACTGAGAGCCCTGTCTTTGTTTTTGTTAGGGTCAGAGAAGATAACATGAAGACTTTGTTCTCTTCCCCCCTCCACTTTAGACCCCTCATGGCTCCTTATGGCTACATGTTGGCGTTATAGAGAGCATCTACTGCCTTGCTTTTGCCCATATCCCACACATGCACACATCCTCTACCCTTTCCTGGCCCAGGGCATTAGGCTTAGGTTATGTTGCCTTCCAGAAAAGCTGTAGATTTGATTATTTTTGCCTTGGCCCCCTCAGCAGTGAGGTATTTGAAGAAGGTCAGTTGCAGTTTTGTGGCGAAAGGACTTTGGCGCAGGTGGAGCTGCTAGGATGGGAGATACAGTGCCCAGAGCAACTGAAGTAAAGGGGGAGTTGTTAAATGCATGACACTTCACCACTGCGCAGTTTTCCTGTGGCCCGTCCACAAGCTGTGCTGATGAATACCTGTCCCCTCTGGCAGGGGAAGGGAAGGTGTGAGCCTGTCGTCCTGAGTGAGTGTGCTCTCTGATCAGACGAACCCTGGAGGATGGGGGAGGGCGCAGACTGGGGAATCGGACCCACCAGATGCTGTGTCTCCTCAGCTGTTCTCAGACCTCCCCCCGTTTCTTTTCCTTTCCTTTGACCGATGCTACCTGAGAAAAGCAGTCACGCTCACTTCCCAGCATGACTGGTGCCCAGGGCAGAGGCTGCACCATTTCCTGTCACAGGAAGCAGTGTGATGGGGGTGGCAGTGGCAGCCCAGAGCGCTGAGCCCTGAGACAGCGCGCTGCAGCAGGTTTTCCATCTAGCGGCCCCCGACCCATCTCCCTGCCGCCACACACACATGAACTCAGCCTGTCCACCCCCAGGAGTGCAGGCTGCGGGTCATGAGCAAACCCTCACACTAGACAGTCTCCTTTAGGGAGGCGGGGCTCCTGCCCGTCCGTCCCAGCAGGAACTGTCCATCAGACCGCTTCTCCCTGACCCCTCATGTTGCTTTTCACCGTGAGGAAGATTCAGGACTTAGTATTCCTCCTCAGTGAGCCTTTCCTTCCCCCAGCCTGTGAGAGGGTAAGACTGCATCCATGGTTGCCTGGACTAAAAGCCCATGGCTGCAGCCTGTCAATAAAATCTTCAGAGGGTCTCACCCTGCCACTCCATTCCTGCTCTCACTGCCCTAATTCAGAACCACTTTGTTCTGTTCCAGTACACTTCTAACCAGTTTTCCAGTCACTAGTCTCCCCCTCCCTTCAGCCGTCTTACCTTTGGCCACTTGGGTTAGCTCTCTGAAGCACAACTCCCGTTTCCAACACCTCTGGGATACAACCCTTACCTGAATGTGCTTCAGATTCTTGACACCAGCTATTTGTTTAATGTCCAACTCTCTAATAGACTGTTCATTCCGTTGGGGTAGAGACCGGTTTTTTTGTTGTTGTATACCCAGTGCCTGGCATAGGAACTGGTACTGGTAAGCGTTCCATAAATGTTTGTTGAATAAATGGAGAGATGTATCTCATCCCCTAGTACTTCCCCCGCATAGCTCCTGGGCCTTCCTTAGCACCTTGAATTATCTGTCATTTCCCGAATGTGACATATATCCCCATGCCATTCCCTCTACTTGAAGTGTTCCAACTCACCCTATCCTTGCCCAAGAATTAATGTCCTGGATCTGGCGTAGTGAAGCTGTGCACATTTATCTTCTCCAGAACAACCAGAGATCACTGACTTATCTGCAGCCATTACCAGAAAAGCCCACACGTGCCTGCAGCCCTGGCCCAGGCTCCAGCCTGGGACCTGTACCATGCCCAGACGTTTGAGCAATCTGACCTGGGCGTTTGGTAATATCTAACTATGACAGGATGGAGTAGTTTCCAGCCAAGCCTACCAAAGTACCCCCTCAACCAGGTGAAGGCCAGGAGAGCATTGGCATCTTCCCCTCAAACTTCCACTGGTTTGAGGAGAGAGAGTCAGAGACCAAATCAGCAACTGTCTCAGATTCCTGGCAGGACACAGTTTAAGTGACCCTGAAGCCAGTGGGTGGATTTGCTTACTGGCTTTCCCACCCAGGGTTAGCTGACAAGCTAAAATGTGGTTTGAATTCATAACCAGCTGCTTTTTTCCTGCCACACAGGAGTGTCAGCTTCTGGACCGGGTGTGGTGGTCATGCAGCTGAATGTCCCTAACGGACCCCAGCCTCCCCAGAACCCATCGATGGTCCAGTGGAGTCACTGTAAATATTACAGCGTGGACCAGCGGGGTCAGAAGCCTGGAGACCTGTACAGCCCCGAGAGCAGCCCCCAGGTGAGCCCTGCACACAGCCTGGTCTGGCGGGAGGCGGCCAGGTTCTCTGCCCAGGTTCGCTGCTGACCACGCAGCCTCTGTTATCCTGGGCACTTTTCGGAAGAAACCCAGGGAAGGGGGCAGAGCATCTTCTTTCAAGGAACCTAAGACCTGAGGTGGCAGATAGGACACATGCTTAAGAACGCCAAGGGAATACTTAAAACAGGTTGTCAGGAGGTGAATATTAAAATAATACCAACTAATTAGGCGCTCAGGGGCCAGTGTGAAGGGGCACTCTGACTTTGACGGAGTTCAGCAAGAGAAGTTTGCTGGGAGAGGTAACTCCTCAGCCGAGCTGTCGGCGTGGCGCAGAGGGCAGGCCCTGGCGTGTGTGTGACATGCACCCCGCTCTCTCGCCCAGGCCAGCACGCAGATGAGCAGCAGCCCGGTCGCGTCTCCTGCACAGTCTCCAGCACCCGCTCCTGTCACCAGCCTCAGCAGCGTCTGCACAGGACTCGGCCCCCTTCCTGTCCTCGCACAGTTCCCCCGGCCCGGCGGTTCCGCCCAGGGTAAGCTGGGCTGCTGTCAGCTGCCAGGTTCACCCTGCGCACCCCATTCCCAAGTGGGGGGTCAGGGGGCAGCAGCAGATGGAGAATCACTGTGCCCGCCCATCCAGTCCGTGGGAGCCAGCTCGGCCATTAGCGTCCCTGTTTAGGCCAGAGACACACCCCCCCTTGAGTGCTGCCCAGTTACCTTAACTCTAGATCTCCTTCATGAATGTAGATTTCTTCCAAGTCCCCAGAGACTGTGAGCCAGGGAAAAGTTCCCTAAACTTTGTAATGAACAGGAAAGAGTTTAACCCATCAGTACTGAGTCTGAGGGCTGGGAATATGGGGTGTGTCAGAGACAGTATGGTTTTAGAAAAGGGAATGCTGGGTTTGAGTGAAAAGACTTGGGTTCACCCCCCAACTACTGTGACAGACAGAAGCTTCGAACAGCCGCTCTTGCCGTCTGTTCCCTGGGGGACACCAGCGGAGGCTCCGCTGCGGCCGTCGCAGACGGCGAGGGGCACCCTGGTGCTGCTGCTGTGCTCTCTGTTAGAATCACAGGTTACTCGAGTCTGCTGCGATGCCACCCGGCTCGTGGCAGTCCTGCCCCCTGCACCTGGGCAGGTGGGGGGCGTGGCCCCTCCCTCCAGCCAGGGGTGGGTGGGCCAAGGAACCCAGTCCCACGCCACTGAGCCCAGACGACCACCTCCCTCCCATGATCAGGAAACCAGAGGTCACCTTCCCACAGAAACTTTATTTTTCACAAATCTCAAGTGCAGAACATAGATGACCATTTTAATAAACACAGTCAAATTTTTAACCAAGAATTTACAAGAATTAAGAGTTTTATAGCTTTAAAACATACAGCCAATATTTTATTTCAGAAATAACTCAATTTCTTAAAAAATAAAAAAAGACAAAGACTTGAGGTCAAATTCTAGTCCTGCCACTGACTGGTGTTGTGGGGCTGAGTATGCTACCATGCTACCTAACTTAGAACCAGACCTAAGATGAGAATATGGTTTAAAACTTCAGAGTGCTCTGAAATACAGTATCTGTCACCAATAATAGGTAACACATAGGTGCTATATCTTATAATCATTTAACCGCACCAGTGCTGATGAGAGAAGAACATATCCAACATCCCATCTTCAGTAACAGAGACAGAATTTGAATATAGTCTGGCTACAGGTCTCTCTTCTTGTCTACTACACTGTATTGCCTCTCATGTAAGTCAGAAACTTGAGCCCTGGGTTTAGGGTGAGAAGCAACTATATGAGAAATAAAAGACAGTTATAAGCATCTGTAGGTTTCCTCCAGGGCCTTTTGTCTTCAATGAACAGAGCCCTTCTTCAAAGATGAGGGAACCTAATAACCCCTTCTGTCCAAGACACAGCTGAGAACCAAGAGGGTTAGGAAGAAAGACAGCGCTTAACCAGTGGCATGGGCACTCCTGTCACAGAAAAGGTAGGCATAGTATGCATTGTTGCAGTCCATCTCCAAAGCCCCATGAAGGCTGTCTGAAGTCACCCCAAGCAGCGCAGACTCCCGGAAAACCATCCATGCTTCCCCCAGGTGACGGTCGCTACTCCCTCCTGGGCCAGCCGTTCCAGTACAATCTGTCCATCTGCCCGCCCTTGCTGCACAGCCAGTCAGCTTACACGGTGCACCAGGTAAGGGCGGCTGCCATCAGCCTCAGGGCCGCTGGGCAGCCGAGGGGGACAACGCAGGGAGAGTGGACCCAGTGGAGGAGCCTCCGCCCCGCTCCTGTGGTCATTCTTCTCGCCCTGCCAGTGCCAGGAGCGGGGCCCCTTATTTCTCACTGGCCGCTCTCTGGCCAGTCTGACTGCCTGGTAGGGTGGGATCCTCAGGGTTGCATACTGCTCCTGAATCTCAGACAGACTGGGATGCAAGGCAGTCAATACTGTTTACCTGGAATGAGAGTTATCTTTCAAATGTTGAAGGGGCAGAGTGGATTGAAGCATGGAAACCGGAGCAAGAGACAAGCGCTCAAATCTGCCTCCACTGACCTGGGGACGACCGACGTCGGTGAGTGACGGGCTGCTGAGTCCCCAGGGGAAGAGCTTAAGCCTCCGGCTCTGCGTTTCCAGTCCAGGATGGTGAGAGCGGGCAGCTCAGGGTCAGCGGGGAGCCAGAAGAGGAGGTTTCTGTGTAGAGCAAGGAGAAGCTGGAGAGGTGGTGTCTCAGACCTTCTCACCAAGCCACTCCAGGTCTTGGGGAGGAGGAGGGTAAAAGTGGTGAATAACACAATGATGACGTTTGTTGAGCCTGCTATTAACAGAGACTCTTGTGGAAGTGGTCCTGACCCTGATACGGAACATCTAAGTCTGGTAGTCCTAGACCCAGTTTAGGAGAGGCTCGATCCTAGGACCCAAGGGAGTGGCTCTCCTCCTGCAGGCCTGCCATTCTAGGCATACAAGATCTCTTGGAGTTTCCCCTGTTTGAAGCAATTTGCTAAACAAGAAAAGGAAGGGAAACTGACTTCCCTAGACGATAAGGAAGAGGAATCTACCTGGGCCAGCCTCTGGGAAGGAAATGGGACATATTTCAGATTGAGCTGTTAACTTTGTGAACGAACATCACCAAAAGCCATACTTCTTCATGGTGATGGCGCCCCACGCGACAACTGAGGTATAGGTTTCCAGACCTTAACGCTGGCACTCTGATCCCCAGTCTCTTCTTGCCTTCATCTCTAGGCTGAGAGAAGAGAAAGGCTCTTTGTGTCTGCCTGTTGCCCTGATTAGAGTCTGCATGGTGGGGAGTTGGGCTGACGTGGGACGGAAGGACAGGATTGAGTGAGAAGGGCTGGGCTTCGAGGGTGTCCTATACAGACTTCGTCACCCAGGTCCCCCTTGGCCAGGCCGCTGTCCAGGCCTGCCTGCCCTGCACCTCTCACAGCCGTGTCCTCTCTTCTCCCTTTCCAGTTCTGGGACGGGTGCTGGAGGTGACAGATCTCCCAGAGGGCATCACCCGTACCGAGGCAGACAAACTCTTCACTCAGCTTGCCATGTCCGGCGCCAAGATCCAGTGGCTCAAGGATGCTCAGGGGCTGCCTGGCGGGGGCGGGGGGGACCACGGTGGGACCGCTGAGAACGGCCGCCACTCGGACCTCGCTGCCTTGTACACCATCGTGGCTGTGTTCCCCAGCCCCTCGGCTGCTCAGAACGCCTCCCTTCGCCTCAACAACTCCGTGAGTCGCTTCAAACTTCGAGTGGCCAAAAAGAACTATGACCTGAGGATCCTGGAGCGAGCCAGCTCCCAATGAATGGACAAGAGAAGGGACCAGCATGGCAGGGGTGGGGGCAGGGTGGAGGGGGTCAAGAGGTCCTGTCAGACCACAGACAGAGGCAGAGAGTAAGATAAGGTCCACAGACAGACACTAAACTGGAGCCTAAGACCGTGGGGATGCAGATGGAGACAGACAGACACTCACGCTGGCACTGGACTTTCTCACTCCCCTGCCAAGGGTCCCTCCATTTCCCTGGTTGGCCCATGTCCACTTCCCTCTCTTTCCCATCCTCTTCTATCATTTTTTATCTCTTCTCTCACCATGAAATTAATTCATATTTTTTGGTCAGGTAGAATTGGGAGGGTCCCCACACTTCCCCGTTCTCCTATTTCCTTACCATCCTAAGCGCCCTTTTCTTTTTTGGTCTTTATGAATATATTTATATGGACAGAATTAAGAAAAACAAAATTGATTTCCCCTTTCTCTCACCCCATCTTGTCCCTCCAAACCCCACAGAGTTTAAACTTGGGCCTCCTTCCACCCCCCCCCAGAACACTTGTATATTGTTTGTTTGAGGTTTGTGCTGCAGTAACAGACACAGTATTTAATTGCACATACAGATGTTTGCTGGGTATATTCACTGTAAATTTTATTTAATCTGATTTTTTGTTTGTTGGGGGGTTCTTTGGGGGGAGGTTGATTTTGTTTTTAAATATAAAAAAAAAAATCTGCCACTGGACCTCAGTCCCTGTTTTCTCTTGCCACCCTGGTGTGGGTGGGGGCTGCACGGGCTTGGTGTGGGCTGGATGGCTTTCTCTGGCATATGCACGCGTATCTGCCTGACACAGCTCCCTGCGTCCCATCCTCCTCACAAGTGGTTCTGATAGATGGCTGGGTCTCTGACAGGACTCTGCCACGAACTGTGGTTTATCAAGCACATCACTCTAGACACTGGACCTCTGAGTTCTTACCAGTAAAATAAGAGACTTGGACTAACTAGGTGACCTTCAGGTTCCTTCCACCCTGTTAATTCTGTGATATT